GAGTTATCATTATTTACACTATTTAAATTGTCCTCATCTTTGTTGTTATTGCAGCATTTCGGCAATTGTACCTTCCAGCATTCATCAGGTGTATATCAATCCAGATAACCTACAGGGAATTCTGAACTGAAACCCCATCCCTGATCAATATGCACCTGATGAAAACTGGAGGGCACAAATGTAAATATTGATATAATACTTTTATTTATTGTTTTCAATGCCTAGTTCAGTAATTATAATTTTTATTATAATCAGCTTGTATATGGTTAAATACATACTCCCTCCCAATTCCCCCAATATTTTTTTTACTCCCATTTTTATTTTCTACATTGCATTGTAGATTTTTATACCTTACAATCCATATTAATATATTCCCTGGATGCTAGGATGCACCCTATAATTAGCTAGGTACTTGAAAAAAAAGAAAAATTTTGACAATTTTAATAGTTTACTGTACTAGCAAGTCAGTCACCAATTTGATGGTATCGTTTTTCTTTGTCAACAAATTTTTGGACCTATTATTAAATATTTGTAGTTATTTATATTTTTAATAGTTTATCAAAATGTTATAGCTATTCATACCAGAAACAACTCTTATTTGCTTCCATAAGACAGTTTGTTTACATCCAATTCCCTTCTGATATTTCATGGCTGCGTTCAAGGGTTCAAATGGTTTGTTGCTTTTGCATTGTCACTAACACAGTCTTCTATTTATGAATGTGTTATTGTCTATCCATTTGTATTATTATTATTATTATAGTAATTAACAGTTGGCTTGTCTGCCTGCGGATGACATCGGTGGGGTACCATCACCATAAACAAACATGGCAGATAGTAGATACTGGAAATTGTGGGTATATTTGGAATTAAAGATAGGCCTAATGCACTAACTGGTTTGTTTCAATAGTACACAAAGTGCTGTAATGACACTTGTATGTTTGGTGTACATATGAAACTTAACTTTCAGCCTGTATTTTATGACCGTGATTGAGATTTGTGAAGATACCATATGGTGTGCCTAGATGGACAGTACTGGTATGAAGTTGGCTACTGGCTATCATCAAGACTCAAAAAAAGATCAAAACTATATATGGTTTGATACTAACATGTTACAGTATTTACTACACATAAATGATAATTGTAGACCTATATGTTTAGGGTACATGGGGGTTGGCAAACTCCTCTACAATTTGACCTTTTAGTGCTAAGATGCAGGGGGATTATATTTATTATTTTATTTTATTTATTTATTTTTTTTTTCTGTAGTTCACTGCTACTAACAAGGAGAATTTTTTTTTCTCCTGATGATGGCCATGTTGGCTGAAACTAGTCAATGAATCTAAATAATAATAATAAAAACAAAAGAATCTTAATATACCCAGTATGTCTGAAGATTTTAATTTTTTAATATTTTTTATTGTGTAAAATATATATCACCCTGCATCTTAGCACTAAAAGGTCAAATTGTAGAGGAGTTTGTTATATATATATATATATTTGGGGGGTGTCTTGCAGGGAATACAGTAGCTTAATATAAATTTATGCCATTGTTTTTTCCCTTGTTTACATTTATTAGAATGGAAGGTCTCAAACAGCAGCCTATGTAGAATCATTTTCATAATCAATATTTTCTTCAAATTTTAATAATTTTGTCCCTTACCCCTTTCCATACTTTGAGTTTCACCTATCCACCAAGAGCAAACAGCCATTCAATTTTAAGGTAAGCAGGATTTATACTAGTACCTTTCCAGGGAAGAAAAGTTGACCTCTTCATGTATTTTTTTCATTTGTTACCTGACAAAAGAGTATAAATGTACTTTGTGACAATTTCTTTTTCTTAATTATATAAAAAGATATAAATTTGACAACTGGGATGGGGAGCAGTAATAAGTATCAAATTTTTATATACATTATTATTTTATTTATATGTACAAGTTGAAAAGAAATAAGATCTGATCTTATATTGGGAGTTGAAGAGAACATTGGGTAAAAGACAACTAATACAAGCAGAAAATCATGTGAGAAAGATCTGAGAAAAGATTGTTAAATAAATTGAAATTTGAAGGAAGATATGTTTTTGGGCAACTACATAATTAAAACAAAAGAAAAATGTCGACAATGTCAAAAAAAAAAGTAAATTGCTGAACTTTTCAAGAAAAGTGAATATTTGTATTTTGCGACCAGGGTAAATAGGGCTGCCAATTGTCTTACATTTGAGAAATTTATGTTTTGAAAATGTCCTTCTTTCACAATTCCTGTTGCTCAAAATTTCTAACTGATTTAAATTCAGTTTTATGGTCTGTGGACCTCGGGTTGGGAACTTGTCCTCAAAGGGATCCACAGACCCCATGGTTGAGAACCCTACTGCAGGCTCTGCAGTGACCTGTTTCTGGTTTGTTGGACCTTACCTTCAGCACATGATTCTTATGTGTCCTTGAGTTTGAGACCCCAGTCTTAAATTATTTAAAAAAAAAAAAAAAAAAACAATGGAAATAATTTTTCTTACAAGCATTTATTTTGCTTTCTACAAAGGATCAATTACAATGATTCATTTAAACCAGTTTTTTTTTTTTTTTTTTTTATCAAATTTTGACCTTTTAAGCCTCTTCTTAGATTCAAGAGAAACTGCAAAACATTATACAATACAAGACATACTGATGGTTCCAAAGATGTGCAATTATTTTTAATAATGCAACAATTAAAAACATCTCTGTAGCGAAGAAAACAGCGACTTACCTCGTCAAACCAAGCGACAGCGTGTCGCATGTATTCTATGATAGAAAAAGTGGCAAAAAAGAAAATTACCAAACAAAAGGGCACGTATTCCACATAACATGCTGAAAATGGAATAATTGAATTAAAAAAAAAACAAGTCCGTTGCAGGAGTCACTATAAAAGTATTTTGATATGCAAATTACGGAATATCCTATCCCAGCTGTCGACGAATGAAAAAAATAGGTTCTGCCGATAAAAGCAGTTGGTGTTCTCGATTCGAGAGCGGAAAATTCGGGCATTTTTGGCTACAGCGTTTATTAGTGAGTTATTTTTCTGACTGGTTACACACATTGTGATTTGAGATAGTACCAGCGAATCGAGTGTTCAGCATTTCTTTCTGCCCCCGATATTCGAGTCTGTACTTACAGTGATTTTTCTTTGTGTTGTGGAAGTAATCTGCAACAAATACTTCCTTTGCTTTCAGAATGCTTACAATCTCTCAAATGAATGTCTATATTTAATGCAGAAGCCAGAGTGATAGATATTTCCCTTGATGTTATAACCAAAGAAAAATCTTCAAAATGTATCATCTTTTCTGATTCCATATCGGTATTAATATCTATCAAAAACAAAAAGCTGGAAAACCCTTTGATAGCATAGGTTCTTTTCCAATATTTTAGCTATCTCAATTTTCAAAATTCTGTGTATCCTAATTTCTAGCCATGTAGGAATTAAGGGCAATGATAGTGCAGACAAAAGTGCTAAACAGGCATTAAGACTAGTTCCTGAAAACTAACAAATCTCATATACTGACCTAAAACCATTAAGAAACATATGTAAAATTAATGGCAGGAACAATGGAACAGAAAAACACAAAATCAACTAAATACAATCTTCCAACCCTCAGGAAAAACACCTTGCTATTATAGAAATTCCTAAAGGGAAGAGGTTACTATAACATGATTATAAATAGGTCACACTAAAATTACACATTAATTCTGACTGAAACAAGAAAAATCACTGTTGTCCTACATGCCAAAACCAATATACTGTAAAATATTTTCTAATTGAATGCATTGATCTGGACTCCAAAAGATACAATTTCTTCAAGGTAAACTGCCAAAAAGAACTATTCGAAAATATTAAAATAAATAAAATTATAACATTCCTGCAATCAGTTGGATTATATCTGAAAATATTTAAAAAAAAATAAATAATCAATCAGTTTTGGCATAAAATGACTCTAACAAATTGATATGCAGTTAAAAATCCACTGAAAATTTTTCTTGGGTGTCTATCACCTTCAATAATTTTCTGGCAATGTCAGATGGAACCATTTATTTGACCCACTGAGGTATGTTTTCAATCCTATTATCTCGCATGCCTGGTGCTTTCCTCTAGAAATTGTCAAATGGAACCTTTTAGCTGATCGCCTCTGGCATATTATACTCTTTATAACTGTCAAAGCCAAGATTTTTTTCATAGGGATTTGTCAACTTATTATCAATCTGGTTTCAATTGAGCAGGTGTATATTCCTGCATTATCCCACATAAGGCTTGAAATGACTTCCAAGAAATCAGGCATGTCTTACTAGAGTTTTTATCAATTCTGTCATATCTTTTGGTAAAGTAAGGAGAATATACCCTCTTGGATGAAATAAGATGTTTCTCTTTGACATTTCTGGAATGTTACCAAATGCAAGAAACATTTAAAGGTTGGATGTTGAGATGTGAAGAAAACCAACCCAAAAGAGTCACTCCAAACATAAAGCTTCTTAATTTTATGTTGACTAATGAAACCAAAGGCAGATGTTAGTGGTATGGTAGTAGTTGAATAATAATTTTTTTTTTTTTTTTTTTTTTTTCCCCTTGTTGTAGGCATCAGCTTAGTCTGCCAAATGGCATGGTGTGAAAGTGTATAGAAAGCAATTGTCATTGAATTTCTTATTGCAGAAGAGATTTCACTCTTCACATTTATGGAGACCAGATAGCAGATATGAGCACAGTTAGGCACAGTGGTTAGTATTTCAGCAGTAGTGACAGCAGTGTGTTAGATAAGCCATATTGAGGTTGGGTAAAGATGGCCAATGCAAACAAACTTTTCTTGTTACTGTGAAAGAGTGCAAAAATAGTGTTTTGTAATTGAAAACTTATTCCATCCTGTATCTAGTTTCTGTGAAGATAAATATGAAGCATTACTTTTGGATCACCTTTTGTGTAATAGTAACACTTTGTTTCAGAAATTCAAATAAAATTTTTTTTTTTTTTTTTTTTTTCTCTTCCAGAATTTTCCAAAGAGGCACTGGAATTGACAAAATTGCAAGAATCAACTCTGCAAGCTAAATATGGGAAAGAAATGAAGGTAAAATAAGTCTTTGATTTATTGTTGAGTCAGAAATTTTCTTTTTAGTTCCCAAATCTCAAGAACTCCATAAACAACATTACTAACATCTCTCCTTACTCACTGATGAGAGATTAGTAAGTTTTGTTCAAGCGGCAGAAGACTAGTGACATTTTAGTCGGTTTCATACTATAACCAGTTTTCTTTCTTTTAAGTGTGTTAGTAGCTAAAGGTTTCACTTGACACTTGTCACAGAAGTTCATAGCCATTAGCTTTTGCATTGAATTTATGGCATTAAAAAAAAACAAACCCCAGGAGCAGATTCTGAAGTGACCCTTTCCCTAAAGTAACAGATCAATTAGCCTAGAAAATGTAAGAGAATGAAGAGTCAAACTGACAAAATTAGGTAGGTTGTTTGTTAAGTAATATATGCGAGGTGGTGTGTGTGTTTTTGTCTTTCTAAATGTGTAAAAGAGAAAGGTGTCAACTCATGAAGAGAAAAAGCCAAAAGCATTTCATTCATTAACTGTGATCTTAAGTGTTTTTGTTTTTTTTTTGTTTTTTTTAACCTTGAAATCAATTATACATAATTCATTGTTTTGGGATCACTTAAAATTCTTCTCATTTGACTGGTTTAGAGAGTGGGACATTTAATTGACAACTATTTACTAGTTACAACAAAACCACCTTTTTTAAAAGTATGAAATCAATTGTGACATTGAATTGGATCATTAACATGAAATGTCAAGACAAAATTAGCAAAAATGCAAATTAAAATGTATTAATTGGCAATATCTTCAACTATGTCAGTTTTTCTTCTTAGACTGATTTAACAGCAAGAATATTTAATTACCAAAAATTGGGTTAGGCATGTTGAAATGATTATTCTTGGGGTGAAGGTTTTATATACTGGTCAATCTGAACTCAAACTCTCTCTCTCACACACACACACACATGCACATACATACATATATATATATATATATATATATATATATATATATATATATATATATTAGAATCCCTGACAACCAGACTAAGAGGGCTTTCTGGATATGAGGAATTGGTTACAATGTCCAGATATGAGAGGGCTATATTTAGATTAAAATAAAAACTGAAATCAGATTTAACATTTATTTTCAATGTTTTATAAGTAAACAAAATAAGCTAATGGTGAGTGAAATATAACAATTGATTTTAAGGAAAAAAGAAATGAATTATGTAATGTTAATGAAAATTCATTAAATTTAAGTCTGCCATGTATGCAAAACAAATAATGTAATGAGGATTTTTCAATTGCTGTTGCATAATGATTCTTTCTCTTGTAATGTCATTCTCAACTTTTTCCACATTTCGTTTTGCTTTTGTTCTTGAAATTTTTTATACAAAAGACACTTTTTAATTCTTCATGCGTTATTGCAATTGTCATAGCTGAATGCTGGCTTTCTTTCCATAAAACTGACAACCTTTTCAATAGCTTTTTCAATTTCAGTCCAGGTTTCATCATGTTTTTATTTCCTCGTTTATTGTGACTGTGAATGCTGGCGAATAGTTTCTTTGGAATATTTTATATCGTACAATGTTGACTTTCCTATGTTGAACTCGGCCATTAGTTACAATGAACTTTTACCAGCATCTAGTCTGTTTAAAAGTTTCCGCTTTTTGCGATAACTCCAAAGTTGTTCTTTTCCTGTTATTCCCATCATCTTTTGCACCAATACAAGCCATTAGGGGTGAAATAAGCATAAGCAATTATCCAAAGTAAATTTCCTGAAAAACTGAAATTTCAAATCTGTTACATATCACCTAAATAGTTCAAATATACACATCAAAATTGGGTATTATGTAAATTGATTTTTTTTTTTTTTTTTTTAATACACACTAGTGAAATTATGAAAGATTAACTTGTATTAAGTTGATGCAAAAGTTTCCAGCTACTTATTTTGAACAATGTTTAAGAAATCTTAAGTGCCATTCAAGTTTATTTAGCATTTTATTGCTTATACAATATATAGTCTATTGTTTACAATCCTTAGAAGTTTCTTTTGAAGTTTACTCTGCTCTTTATCGCTTGCGGAATCTGTCAATTGTAATACGTAGTTTACAAGTCTGAGGAAAAATTCAAACTTGAGAAAAATGTGTTCCACATTAACTTACATATTGCAGAAAAATTATGAATTCATTTTGAAAAAACAGAATTGGTGGGTGGGGAAATGTCATGGTTAGGTCTCTGATATCCTTCAACAATACACTGTAAACAAACTCTACTGAGGATGGAAAACATCATTTGCATGTGAAATTGAAAGGAACTATTTACTACTAGCCTAGAATCTGTCCCTCGAGTGGAATTTAGGCTCAACTCCTGCAGAGGGTTTTTGGGCCTTTGGCCTTTTATCTTCAGTGTCATATGCACATAAGAGTTATAAGAATTTAGAAATAACAAAATTATTTTATCTTTATTCAACACCTTAATTCGGCATAATCTTTCTTTGTATATGCAACCAATCTCTGTAGTTTGTTTGCATTTATTTTTCTCACAATCTTTATTTTCTTTTAAAATCACCATTCTTGATGATCCCTTCACATAGTCATTCTTAAGACATTAGGGAACCTGAACTATGTAATATTTCAAATACGTCACAGTACATGTGCTAGAAAAAGGAAAAAAAAACATGTGCAACGTTCTGTGCCCTGCTTAAATTTTTAGACAATATCAATTGCAATAGTGAAGAAAAGTGAAATTAAAGTTAAACCTTTAATAAAAAAAATTATTTTTTTAAAACCTTTCACTTTGTTTGATGTTTTACTTCCCTCAAGTTTTCAAAAATAAACGGATATTTAGACTTTGCTTTTGGAGTTTCTAATAAAGCCTCCATATGACTGATAATTTATCTGGTAGTAACCTGGTCCATACAGTTATTTGTTAAATTTTTGAATAATTGTAGAGTTTTTTCTAAAGTAACTACTGAGGGTTACCATTATAGCTACTCCAGTGTCCAATTTGAAAGTAATTACTACATAACGTTGTAGTAACTTCAGCTTGCCAGGCTTCTTCTGTGACTGTTAATTCTGTTGTTAGTAGTAATAGACACAAGGACGTGGTGTATTTTTTCATTCCATCGTTTCTCAAATTTTAGACCTGAGAGTCCTACAATTTTTTTGCATAATGTTTTCTTGAACACTTTCGACAAGTTGCATTTTTGGCTGGACAAAGTTTTGAGTGTAAGATGGAATGTTGCCATAGTGTATACATTTACTTGTACATCTTTTTATATTTCTTTGGGGTTGCTCTGCAAAAGTTTTGCTTCTGTTTCATTTGGACCTAAAGAAATATTTTGAGTTTGTTGCTGGGAAGTTTCATAGGCACTGCCTATGTCTTTAAATTCATCTAGGGTAAGCTTTCTATCCTTTAAAAACTTTTCCCTGACTGTATGATCTTTAACCCCTACAACTATTTGGTTTCAAATTAACCTATCTTGCATTTCCCTAAAATTGCAGCCTCTTGCTAACTGCTGGGGTGCAACGACATATGCCTCTATGCTCTCTTAAGCTTCTTGCTTTTGAATATGAAATTTGTAAGCTTTGTACACTTCATGTGTTTCTCCAACAAAAAATTCTTGGAATTTCGTTATTACTACTCCCAAATTTTTTTTCTCCTCTTCATTATTGAATTTTAACACCTCGTAAATGTCATATGCATCTTCTATTATTGACAAAAAGACACATGTTTGGTATGTACTATCAGGTTCTTTTGTTGCATCAACTGGCTTTTGAATAATTTTAAAATAATAATAATATAAAAATAATTTGAAAACTTTTTCCAGTTAGTTACCCAATTCCCTGATGAAACCATTTTTGTAGGAGGTTGGACATTTGCCATAAATTGACTTTTAGTTATCATGCCCTTGCTCAGAATTTTGTGCAATGGACAAGTCGTCAATTGGACTAAACGTTTTTTAACAAAACAAAAAAAAAAAAAAGACAAAATTTGTTTTTCTATTTACTTTATAAACTGTTCATAGTTTAAATACAACAATTTTTTTTTTCTTAATCCACTTGTATATTCGAATATATTTCTTTTCTTTCTTTTTTTTTTTTTTTTTTTTTTTTTTTTTTTTTTTTTTTCTCCAGGCACTATGTGGCGTAAATTCTTCCTAACACCATGTGGCATAATTTAAGTGTATTAAATTACAGAAGGGGGGGAAAAAGAGAAGATGAAGTATTTAACTATTTATTATGATGTCCAAACTCATTAACGTGTAGAATTTAAGATCTCCCCTCCTCATCCATACTCTGTTTTTATAGTGGAAGCAGATACCATTTGCACACAGCACTTTATTATTATAGATGAATTGTTGGAACCTGGACACATTGTTATTATACCAATGATACATTGAGCAATTTGCTTATTTGAAAAGTTTTTTTTATTTTTTGTTTTTCTCCAAAAAAATCAAAAGATTATTTTGCTGCATGACTCTTGTCTTGCAAATGCAATATAGTAAATAATCATAGGGCTGAGATGGGAACTTCTTCCACATGTAGAAAATTCTTCTGACCTGTCACTTTCAGGTGATTGTGTTGCTCTGTGGTTCCAATAAGTTATGATACTGAAAAAATTTCTCAAAGAACTCCTCAAAACTGAAATTGTTCTTTTATGATGGAAATATAAAATCTAGCTGGATGGTAGAACAAGGTTGTAAAAAGTGAGGAGGGGGAAATTTTTAATGACTGAATATTTATGCTATATAAATAAAAGATTTTATCAGAAAAGATAAAGAAAACTTTTGCATTAACTTATGACTAATTTTAATACAATGTCTCTTCAGAATGTAAGCATTGGATTCCTTTTCTTTATTATAAATTACCATGATTTCTTAAGTATGGTTTTGCTTCAGTTTTTAAATTTACTTTAGTCCTTCTCCTAAAGTGGTTGCCAACCAAGGCTAGAGTCCAGTCTAATCTTCTATTTAACCCATAGCTAGAGGGAAGAGATAGTCATACCTTTCCCAAAGACAGTGAGAAAAATGAATGCAACAGATTTATGAAGACTTAGTATTTGGACTTAGTATTTGTTCTGCTTCATTTTTAATCAGTTCTTTCATTTGTTTTCTAGGAATATGAAGCTCATCTGGCTCAGCAAAAAATTGAAGAAATGCGAGTTTCTCAAGAAGAAAAGAGAAAAACCATGGCTGAAGAAACAAGGCAGTATCAGCAGAGAGCCCAATACCAAGATCAGTTGGCACGCAAACGATATGATGACCAATTAGCACAGCAGGTGAGTGTCTCATAAATAAAGAAAGTAAGGTGTCTTAGAAAAAAGAAAAAAAAAAAAAATATTGTCCATTTGACAGCTTTAAAAATGTAAAAGCTGTCAGAAATCTTAGACTGGCATAGAGCTACATGTGTAAAGTACCTATTTAAAATCCGTTTCACTTCCATAATTAGCCTGCAAGATTAATTTGCTAACCACCTCTGTAATAAAGATCTTGAGATTTACCAATTTAATCTTTGTTACAAAATCTTGCTCTTTTTCACTAATCCCCTAACTTGTTAACTATGGCTTTAACTTAGATGCCTCAAATTGGAAATTTTCATATAAGAGGGTCGTTCAAAATGGTCTAGACCTCCCCCAGATTTTTGTTGGTGGCATAAGACATGGTTAATGGGGGGGCACTAATTTGTCTACCCATGAGCATGGATGAGCTTTTCAATCTTCCAGCATGTGCTATTGTCCTATAGCTTAGCAATAATTTAGAAAGAACTTTTCTTTGTTGGATACCTGTATTACATCTGGCCAGCCTGAATACAAATTTACCAGTATTAATAATAATCCCACTCCATTAACATGGACATGATCCATGTGTATTCTGTCCCAAGGTTGGGACTCTTTAGGCCATGAATGTATTTTTGTCTGAATTTTCTCCTTTCAATGCACATTTTACACCTTTTTATGGATTCTTGTAACTTATGGGAAATAATGTAATTTGTACCTCAAATTTCAGTCTCATTCACAATTAATTTCTAATTTGTGTACTCTTTAATTAAAATATAGGTACACATAAGATACAATAAAAATGCTATGAATTAATGTTTATTAATCTGATTTTTTATGAAAACTTATTTAGAATGGTTTGCTGCATGGTATTCTGGTTTTCATATAATTGACGGTACTGAGAAATTGTTCCTTCAAATTTTTCAAACATATCATAATCATTAGTATTTTGACCTGAAAATTTTATTTATAATCTGTCCATAGTAAATGTATACATCATTTATATTTCAGTATTAAAACTTTTTTTTTTTTTTTTTTTAACAAAAAAAATCAGATTTTCTTTTAGGACTTTCAAAATAAACCAGAAAAAATACTTAAATATGTATTTTTATTATTGGCTTATATTATAAAATTTATATATTTATAGCCATTCATTATTATTTTTTTTTTTTTTTTTTTTTTTTAACACTAGTGTAATTACTTTGATAACAAAATACTTGACCATTTTTTTTTTTTTTTTTTTTTTTTTTTTTAATTTAGAAAATTTTTAATTGGTAACTATAAAAAAAAATCTCAATTTTCAATTACCATGGTTAAACTGAAAAATGTTTTAACACTAATCAAGTATTATGCATGTACTAATTGAATTTTGGTATTTAAAAATTTTAGCACACTAATCGGAAACATATTATTTGAGGGATTCCCTTATTATCTTTAGGAAAGGCATGAATTCACTTCTCCCTGTGCTATGTCCTATTGATAGATATTTTGATGAAAAATGTCTCTTTATCAGTATACCATGATAGTCTATTTATTTTTCCATAACCGCTTCCAAACACTAACAACAAAAAAGCTGTTACCTCTATAATCTCCCTTTGAAAAGGTTCTATAAGATTGTGACGATGCTTTGTAATTATCATGTTTCTTTTTCAGGCAAGAGTAAATGAAGAGAATTTGAGAAAGCAAGAGGAATCTATAGCAAAGCAAGAGGCAATAAAAAAAGGTCAGTTTTTTTTGTTTTTTGTTTTTTTCCCCCCCTGACTCTCCACTTTTTCATTTTTTCTTCCCCTTCCCACCACTTAGAAACAATGTACAGTCATTAGCAAAAATATCAGCCCAAGATGCAACCTATGAATTGGAGATATCGAAAACAAGCAAGTGAAAGTGTTTAAACAATGTTTAACAAGACAGCAGGAAACATGGGACAAAAATCCAATGGCGCATCATTGGAATAACAAAAGATGCTGTTTGCGAAAATAAACAAATTAGAAGAAAACAGGAAAAATTTTGTGTATAAATGAAAAGTGCTGAATTGCTATGTAATATCAATTCTTCTGTATGGCAGTGAATGCTGGACAGTTTTCTCACAGATGAAGAGGAGACTTGAGGCATCATAAGTGTGATTCTACAGAAGAATGCTGAGAATGCCATGGATGTAACATGTGAACAACGAGCAAGTTTTAAGGAAAATAGGAGGAAAAAGTACACATACTCAAGTTGAAATTTCTGTGACAAATAATGAGGAAAGAGGGTTTGGAGAATTTGACACCTACAGGACATGTTGAAGGCAAGGAAGTCAGTGGGTAACTTCCCTAATGAGCTTGTGTAAATGGATGGCAGAACATGAACAGGAAGAGATATGTGCTGGAGAATTACCTCGGAGGGCCAGAGTGGCATAGCATGAACTCCTGCATAAGACGAGCAATTTGTGAGCGATGCAAACTGTACGAGCATTAGTGCTGAATAAAGGAGGTGAGTGTTTGTTGAAAAGGGAATAAGCTATTGCACGCAGTTCAGTTCAGATTGGTGCATTGCAGTGTGTGCTAAAGCAGAGTGCTTGCAAGTGTTGTTCCAGCATCTGTGCTACAAAAGAAAGTGTTTCCTGCTACATATACATATTCATATTAATAATAATAGTAATAATAATAATAATAATAATAATACAAAGACTTGCATCTGGTTCATGCACCTACCTGGTCACCAATTCAGCAGCTGTCCACCTCGAGTGACTCTGACAAATTTGGCAGCTGTCCACCTCGAGTGACTCTTCATTTAAATTTTGACTTCTTCAAGTCTAGGTTTAGCCGTTAATTTTCCTGTATAGTCTCAAGAACTTCACTTTTTGCTCTTTTTTACAACTCCACACAGTAACCCTCTACCTTGAGTAACTCTCAGGCTTTGTATTGGATGAACATTACTAAAAATAAATAAAAATCAATAATTTTCCTGTCAAAACTACCTTTTGCTCTTTTTTAAATGACACAGTGATTTAACATATTTCATTTGTTATGAACATTTTTTTTTTTTTTTTTTTTCATTCTTGAATTTTTGAAGGAAAAATTAATATATACTGTGTTAGAGAATTACCTCTGGGGTCCAAAGTAACATAACCTAAACTTACGCATAATTATAAGCGAGGCAAACCGTACAAGCATTGGTGCTCAAATGACACAGAACATGTCACTGAGCCAGACTGAGGCTGTCAGCAAGGGCAAGATGCTAATTTTCTGTATTGGCAAATGAATGAGGCAAGTGTTGAGATGAAAGTAAGGTCTTGTGGTTTCAGCACAGTTCAGATTGGTGCATTACAGTGTGTGCTAAACCAGTGTCCCTTGCAAGTGTTGTTCCAGTGTCTGTGCTACAGAAGAAACTGTTTCCTGCAACAAGCTATTTTGACAATATTACTATGGCAAAGGTACACATGCAGAGATATGATAAAGCCATTTACTGGCAAGGGAGGCATGATAGAATGGCTAAAAAAGGTGTGGTTGGTGGTGAGACTTCAGCTGGTGGATGATGTAGCAAGCCTGCTTCCATTGTATCTGGAGAGAGACACATACTAGCCCTGTACATAGAGATGAAGATAACTAAAGGAATATATATCAGAGGACCTTTTGAAAGAGATATTCACCGATGGTGCATTGATAGCCTACAGGAAGGTGACCATGGTCAGGTGGGCTGGCGAGGAGTTGGACATTTATATGACCAGAATCGGGCAGTTGGTTGGTTTGACCAGGTTCAAGAGAGTTGGGCTGGAAAGGCTTAGTAAATTGACTGTCATGATGGGGTTCCCTGATTCCATCGGATTTCAACAGGCACCAAACACTGAGACCCTGCCTATGAGGGACCTAATAGTGAGAGCAAGTGTGTTGAGAACACCTGGAGACCAGAGCCAAGATGTGGCTGCAGACATGCACTCACTCTGCAGTAATACCATAGTTTCTACCAGGAGTGGCTCCAGTGCCAGTATAACCTGCTACAGGTGCAGTGGCAAGAGTCAAACAGCAAAGGACTGTTGAAAGCACAGAACACATTGCTAGTGATGTAAAGTTGGGCACTGTGCCTGTTACTGTTGTGGGGGATGGGTCATCAGCACCAGCCTTCTCCCCCACCAAGATGTAAAATTGGCACACCTGGAAACAAGCATCTATGTTCACAGGGCACAGTGTTTGACTCTAATTGACATAGGCTGCTTGCAGTCAATACTAGATACAGATCAATGCCAATCCTGGAAGAAAGCAAGAGTGGACATCAGGACAATTGCAGACACATACTGTGTTTGTTGTGGTGTCAGAGTGGTTACCATGTACATGGACAAAAGTAATTCTGTCAAGATCGATGTTCTGGTAGTGTGTGGCAAACCACTGGGGTTTGATTTGCTGTTGGGGATCGATGCTATAAAAGCATTTGGAGGCATCATTGTTGGTCCAACAGGATCAGTGCCTGCCACCTTTGACCATCAGAATTGGTCATAGACCGCAGCATGGAAGTGGTTAGAGAACCACACATCTGAAGGACTGCAAGATCGGGTGCTATGCTGAAAGCTATCAACTTGGCTCATCAGTGGCAGGGCAAGGTGTTGCATATGAAATGTGTGAGGTGGAGGGAGGGGAAAATTGATTTTGAAGATCCACCAAGGTCAGCCAAGAAAGCTTTGAACATTTGTGTCCACACTCTTTGACATTCCAACCAAACAATAACAAGGTTTATTGATGACAGGATTACAGTCAATTGAACCCTTTCAATTGACTTTAAGAGCCACAACTATTCAATCAGCAAACATACGCTATATGGACATTTAGCAGCAATAAAGGCAAGATTGGTTAAATTACTGCCCCCAATTTTTTTTTTTTTTTTAAATGAATGAAAATGACCGTGTAATTGTATCACTTCTGGTTTGGTGATAAGTTTATTCTTTCTCCTGTGTAACTGAAAATTTTCAGTCTGTATTTATATTATTTCTGTGATTGACTTGTGCCAACCATTGTTTAGATGTCAATTGAAGGATGCACTCCTACACTGACACAGTCTTGGCTTTTGCACCTGACTCCTGTTTTTTGTTTATTATCATAAGTTCAATTAATTTTATTGTGGAAATATAACATATAAATCATTCACTTAATGCAGGGGTTCTCAACAGGGTCTGAATTTTGGATTTTCAGGGGGGGTGAATTGTGACTACAGTAAGTTTGGTGGTGGAGGAAAGCAATTATAGAATTTTGCCCATCTGTCACCTTGAAAGGAGAGGGGGGTGTCATTCTGACAAATGATGAAGGGGGGTGCATGGGGCAAGGACGGTTGAGAACACCCTGACTTAATGTATCCAATAGCATTGAGTTAATTTCTTTTCAGTATGATTTACTCTTTTTGACTTCATCCACCAGTTTGTCTTTGAAAATATCTATATTAATCCTATAACTTAAATAGGAATCTATTGCTTTCAGTTCAGTAAGATTTTGTTGGCCTTTGAAATTAATGAACATTTGTGGTGTTTCTTTTGCCTTTTTATATTTCTTCCCCATCCTTTCACATCAATCCTTTTTTTTTCTTTTTTTTTTTTTTTTTACCTTTCCATATTTCCCCTCTTCTCCCCCCCTTCTCTTCACCTTTTTTTTGCCTTTATATATTTCCTCCCCACCTTTTCTCATCAACTTTTTTATCCTTCTGTATTTCTTCCTCACCCTATCTCTCTTTGCATTTTTTTTTTTTTTTTTTTTAATAAATATCAGTTGTACAGTTTTTAACATGTTAGCTAGTTACAGCTTAGAACAAAAAAATGTTAAATTTAGGTTTCAGCAAGGCTTATTTATCCTAACTTGTTTGATAGTTTTTATACCTTGACGTTGTCTATCAAACGGGTCTGTGATGTTGTTTTTACAGTGTCATTTAATTGTTATTCTTTCAGCTACAATTGAACATGAAGCTGAACTGCGACACAAACATGAGATGATGAAGCTGAGAGCAAAAATACAAGAAAAAGCCAAAATGGACAGAGAAAACCGAGATCTTATAAGGGAAGAAATCAAACTTAAAGGTGCTGAACGGAGAGAAACTGTTCTTAAATCAATTGAGTAAGTCATGAAATACATAAATATCTATTTTTAAAATACTTTTTTCTATAACAATTTTAATAAATATGAGATGAAAGTAACTAAATAGCAAGTTTGTACATAACCAAAATTTTATTAGCAGTCAAGTGGTGACTATTTTAGTGTTTTATTCAAATTATCACCAACCCAGAACAATATCAAAAGGAAGGATTTTCAATAAAAAAACAATTTTTATTTTCAGACAAGTAAACTAAGGGGATTTTATAAATCTAGTACGTGTAACAATTTCTGATTTGAAATGGTTAATTACTCACAGCAGGTTGGGACACTAGAACCAAATGGATATATGAGGCACTTGAGGCACACACCCCTCTCCTGAATGATTTTCAGTTCCTTAATCAAACTGTATTAATGTTTATTTGTACATAAGAGACATATTAAAACAAAACTTTCAAAATTCCCCAAAGGAGCTTACATTTTGCATTTGACCCATTTAAACGTTTTAGGGAGATGACAATCTAAATCATTTTCAGACCCCACTCCAAAAGAAATCAAGATTGTAGTAATTAGGAAAATATTCTGATGGGAGTTTGTTCCACAAAGCAGCAGTTGTTGGTAAGAAGCTGTCTGAATGAAACTTGCTTCTTACTATAGGAATATGAAAGGAAAAATATGAAAATAAAAAACCAAAAGTTTCCAGACCAGAGGAAGACACCTCACCATACGATTAGGAGAGTGGATCAGCAACTCTTGACAGATGTGACTGTGGCAATCAGGGGTCACTCTAGCCTCGGGTTGATATATTACAGGCAACCATGGAAAAAATAAATACGGACACACAAAGCTGATCTTTTTGGGGAGAACCATCATTTTTTATACTTTTTTTTTTCTCCTTAAAAAAAAAAAATTCAGGGTAGTGTTACTGTGTGTTGTTGTATGAGCATACAAAAAGTCAAGAAGTAAAGTTCATGGGGTTATGCTAGAAAGATAACAGTTAACTCTAGACTTGAAGAGGCCAAGATTGTAATTATTGGGAAAACATCCTACCAGGAGTCTGTTCCACAAAGCAGCAGTTCTTTGGAAGAAGTTGTCCAAGTGGAACTTACTTCTTACTAATGGAATATGAAGGGGCAAGTAAGAATTCACCTTGAATTAAAGAGCAGATAAGCATAAAAATCCAATCCTGTTAACTCTACTGAAAAAAAAAATGTCTGATTGCCTTGTTAATGTTGTAGAATTAACTTCATTGGTAAAAAGATATTTTAGTTAGCAAGAAATCAATATTCTACTGTTCTGTGGTACTCTTGGCCTAATTTTCCAACAATATTTTGCATTTCCTTATATCACATTACAAGATTTAATTTCTTTTCTATTTCAGAACTGCTGGTGATGTTCTTGGAACCGGTTTTGTATCTTTTATTAAAGACTGGGACAGAGTTTCTGCTACGGTAGGATTACAATGAATCATTCCTGGCTTATCTTCAATTCAAGACTTTTTGTTATATTCTGAGCTTACAAATTGTATGACTGTTTATGATCAGCCTTTGTTTTATGCTGAGGAGTGTCTCTGTTGTTTTAGTATTACCATGCTTTCATTTCTGATTTCAATTAAGAAAATCATTAGTATGAATGCAAAATAAAATAATATTTTATACTTTTTCAACATCCAATTTCAAATAGTCAAGTTGAGATTGTTATATTCCGTGCTAAGGGAATAAATACTTAACATCAGGTGAATAATACAAGAAAGGTTTATTGTACACAACTAGTACAGTATGAAATACAGTACAGTTATACACACAGGTCAATCTAGTAGGGAGTGCCACTAATTGGAAGGTAGGATGTGGTTGAGTCTTCTCGCTCTCACTCTTCTTCAAGTCTCTCATAGACAATTGACTTTATAGGTACTTACTACCTATAGTGCAATCATTCATGGGAGGGGGGGTTATTCCATTACATCAGATTGAAATCTGGGTGTCTTCACCTTGGAGAACATGACAACCAATATTTGTGCTCTGCATGAGACAGAAAAAACTGGCGCCACTATGTGGCAGAATTGGCTCACAGTCAACAGGCCAAGGGTGCCCAGTGGCCTACTGTGGGTGAGCAGTTATAAGTTGACAGTGGAGCACAAACAAGAGACAACAGAAACAAACTAATTACAATTCTTACTCAGCATACTAGTGTGATAAACTTGGCTCTTTTTGGTAATTTTTAAGAAAGTGAAACATTCATTGGCCTGACACGTTTGTGTGTTCTGCTCAATTCAGGACAGTTTGGTAGTGTGCACTTTTACACCATGTTTCACAACAAATTCACTTCAAGTCACAGATGGTTTTGCCCCACACCTCTGCCTGCTGGCTGGCAAACACATCCAGACTGTCAAAAGGTGGTTGATGCCATCTGCAGTGGCATTTTGTCTGAACCAAACTTCTTCTCCTTTAATTGTTCAAGTATTAGGAGAGTGAGCAAAATATTCTCTATAAATCTGTTTCTTTGAGTGAATGTGAAGGTAGTGTAATGATTCAGAATAATAAAAAAAAAAAAAAAAATTGCAAAATGAAGTTCACATTTCAGTCTACTTCATTTATGTGCAAATATCCATGGGAAAGGTATGAATTAATTTCCTCCCCACCAGCTATGTATTAAATAGTAGAGCCTGTATCTGGAAAAATAATTGCTATTCTCAAAAAATTGCTAATGCATTATTCACTTACTATAAATAATTATTCTTATAATCCAAAATATATTTTGGCTTTAAATAACCCACAAATCAATCAGTCAGTTCTTTTGACAAATCTGTTCTCTTGAAAAGTCCTTGTGGCACTGTTGTATTTTTAAAAATTCCAGTGAGTCTGCCAAGCCTTTCCAGTTCAATCAGTTTCATAAGCCAGTATAATCATGGCATTACATCAAAGACTTGATGTAATTTCCTTGTAGCTTGTTGGTGTTATTTTAATATTAAATATAATATACTCATTTGGACAAAGAGATTTATTTGCCATCTTTTTTTTTTTTTCTAAAAGATTTTGTATTTATAACAATGAAATATTAGGTTCATATTGAAATTTTCTGCGTTTGAAGTTGACTTTTCAATTTGAAATAGATTAGTCCGATTTAGAGTTAACTATCCTCAGTTTGAATTTGAAAAGATATAGTTCAATATGACCAATATTGTGTGTGGGAAGTTGGAACCTTTGAACACAAAAGCTTTTGGTTTTTGTAATTTTGGCACCATTAAGTTATAAAGTTTATCAATTTTTTTTTAAATCTCATTGTAATCTATTTATCTATATATAAAATTCTGTGACTTCCGTTAGTCTGTCCTTCACAACCTCTAAAATAGCCATACATTGATTGAAACCAAATTTTAGGGAGAAGTGTAAACAAGTAAGGGGGTCCAAATTACAGTTGATTTTACTACTAGAGTCCATAGCTTAGTACAATAAATTTTCATTATTTTTTGGGGGAAAATTAAGTTTTATTATTTAACATACAAAATACTCCCACTATTTTAAAAGCAAATTTAATGATTAAAATAATACTTTTTTAATAAAAATGCATATTTTTAATTAATTTTTTTTTTTTTTTTTTTTTTTTCGCCTATCTTTAAGTTACACACACACACACACACACACACACACACACACACACATCCAAATTGCATGAACTATAAACCAATCACACGGCCAAATGCTTCAAAAAGTTGAAATTTGGCTCCAGAAAGAAATATTTACGTATACCAAGTTGTGTTCAAGAGTAAGAATTCCTAAGAATTGTTAAAAAAGGAAAAAAAATAAATTTTCTTAAAACATATTGTCCACCATGAAGTTCTATTAAATTAAAATTAAATTATTAAACTATAAAGTAGGTGTTGTTTGTTTTTTTTTTTTTTTTTTTTGTCAAAGTATTTTCCAAACAAATCACCTTCTTCAAATTTAATCAATTGCTGTGCGAAATTTAACAAAATGTAGAGTTTGTAAATCTTGACCAAAAAAGTCAGCAATAATTTCAACAATACTAAATACTGTAGGGATTTCAACACACCAGTGAGTGTTGGAAAAAGTTCTAGTAAAAAAAAAAAAAAAAATACATTGAACGTGAATCTTTTATTTCCATTGCAAATAACTCATTTTAAAAGTTAGTATTTCAAACCCAATTTTTTTATAAAAGCATTGTTTTAACTCCCGAATGCACAAATTTGAATTTTGTTTTGAAATGAGGAATTAGAAAATTGAATTGTAATTTTCAACTATGAAAATATTAACTGGTGATCTGAATTCAAATTCCAATTGACTTTTCTTTTCTTCTTTGTTCTAAAGCTCTTGGAAAGGACATTAATTCAACTTTGTTTTTAATTCACTCTTGTCATTGCTATGCCACAATATCAACATAAAATAGCTGAGTGAGTCAATCACACATTAATTAATTTACCTGTCAAAGCAATGGCAGAACCCCAATAGTAACCAGTGAGTTTAGAATTATAAAAATACTAAAATTGTTATCCTATATTGTTAGCAATACCTGCTTTAATTACTAACCACTGACAATCCCTTTTTCATTTTCAATGCTCAACATAAGGGAACAAAACTTGTTCAATAAAATAAAATGGCAAAATGTCATTAAATTCTACTTTTAAACAGTAATATTACAATGTTGATATATTTTTATCCAATCTAGATTTTGTTGTCTGCCTACATATTAAATCAGAGTTTTTGTTTAATAAATCCTAGTTGTGACATTATAGAGCCTATAAACAGGTAGTTTTAATAATACCAGAAAATATCAACATCTTTGATAATCTGCAAATGTATTTACTTTCAGTTGAAGATATTAAATGAATCCAAATGATTTTCATTTTATTTTCTTTCTTATAGGTTGCTGGTTTAACAATGTTGGCAGTTGGTGTTTATGCCGCCAAACATGGAACTGCAGTTGGTGCAAACTACATTCAATCAAGATTAGGAAAACCATCATTGATTAGAGAAACTTCAAGATTCTCTTTATTAGATGCATTAAAACATCCTATAAAGGTGAGTACATATTTGGGTGGGGCTATATAATGGACTAGATTTGCTTATGTTGCTTAGCTGTGTAGCTGCACTTTCATTCTTCCTGCATAAGATAAAATATAATAGTGTCTTATTTTAAACAAAAACTGTTTAAAGAAAAAATCATGTCTAACAACAAATTCTTTAATATTTGACTAGTTTTCATCTTATTGTTACTTTTTTTATCGCTATGTTCTAAGTATCTGTCTATATTTCTGAGAATAGGTATTATGTACATTATTTATATTGTTCAGACTATCATCCTCACCTTTGTTGCCATATTTATTACAATGTTTCGGCTTTTGTACTCTCCGGCCTTCTTCAGGTGGTTGGTATGTTGAACTGAACCCTTTATTTTGCTCGCTGGGGTAGACTGTTCTAATTCCACATGCCATGTCTAATGGATGTCAGTTATTAGTTATCTCCTGTTAATTCCCCTCTTCAATACCTGGTTAAGGCAGTGGAAGAATTTGTCTACTGCCTTAACCAGGTATTGAACTCACTCTCACTCCCTTTCCGCCTCTTCCCCTCTCTGTACTAACTTTTAGCATAGCAAATTTCCACCTCCTTTTTGTGGCACACAATTATGACTAACATGTGAGATCATGGTAGTTGTATAGTCAGTGTTTATTCTGTTTTTTCTTAGTATTATATTTTGTTAATCATAGACATTCAAGTTTTTATGAGGTTAATGTGTAAGGGTGCAGTAAAAGTACCATGCTTTCTTTTTTTACTTATTAACTTTTATTGGAGAGTAATAAACTACAGTAGTTTAGGAAAATTTATGAGTATTGTCACATCAAAACATGATTTGTTATCGTTAACAAATTAACATGTTCTAAATACTCCACTTCATGTTCAATAAAATGCTGAACACTTCTGCAAACCATTTGTTACATTTTTACATTAATCTTCATCATTCTGTATGTGGCTTCATTTGCTGTACAATCCTACCACTGAAGGTGACTCTGATCCCTGAATTTGAACTTCATAATCATGTTGTCATATCCTGCTATGGCAATAGAAAACGACTTTGAGCAAAATTAATAATAATAAGGATACTGCAATTGAGAAGCATTCAAAAAAAATTTAGTTGAAATGGAAGTAATATTAATAATGCAGAGTGCTAATGGTTAATTTCATAAAATTTATCAGAAATTACTTGTTTTAAATCGAGGATTGTTTTTGGTTTGAGCCTGTAAACATGATTTTTCAGTACGACCCCACAAGAAAAAGTCGGCTGATTGTGATGGTTACTCAAACTCAATTGTTCCACGTCATCCTATCCACCTGAGCTCAGAATTAAAATTTAACCATCCCCGAATGTGTAAGCCATAGTTAATCTTAAGCCATCTTAAACTTAAATTTATTTTTGTTAAATAAAAATTAAATAAAAAGTGGCATTACTTTGGCCACACCCTGTATTGTATAACATGGTCTTAATATCTATTATCTCTATTTTTTTTTTATTTTTTTTTTTTTTTTTATAGACTTATTCCAGGTTAGCAAGCAAAGCTGAAGATTCTCTGAAAGGAATTATTTTACATGTAAGTTTAAAAATTTTATCTGTTTATTTTTTTTCATAAGATATTCTTTTACACTTGTATGTGTTTTCTAATGACAACACTGCAAAGCTTGCAAAGTGAAAAATAAGTAACTTTAAGTACTCTGAAAAATGTCTGTTTGTGGTAAGCTATAGTTCAAGATTTTATGCCTGCTGACATTTTCATATATTGCTAAAAAAAATTTTTTTCTAATATATATATATATATACACATTTTTTATTATTTTCATTTATTTTATTTCTCTCCTAAATTGAAAATGTCTTGTTGAAAGACTTGCATACTTCTAAATGCTGCTTCAACAAATACAGGCTTACGATATTGAGTCCCACCCCAGAGGGTGTCTGTCGGTTCAAAAGGCCTTTTAATACATGGGCATTCCCCGGTTAAGCAATGTTGAGCATGTTTAGGGCTCGGCCAGGTGCTGTAATTGATGGTGTACCCAATTGTTAATGGCATATATATTGCTAAAAAAAAATTTTTTATTATATATATATATATCACATTTTTATTATTTTCATTTATTTTAGGTCTCTCTAAATTAGGTCTTTTGAAAAAGACCAAATCCCGGCCGGAGACTCTTTAAGCCTTTTAATCCTTCGGTTCCCATCCCGTCCGTAGGAAGAGAGTTCAACCGAGCAGTCGGTTCAAAAGTGAACGACTGACTCACTCCTTGAATACAGGCTTACAGCTACATGATGTTAAAACATCAGTTCCTATACAGTCACCGAAGTTAAGCAATGTTGAGCATGTTTAGTATTTAGATGGGTGATCACTTGGGAATACCAGGTGCTGTAATCTTGGATGGTGTAATGGATAATGGCTCAGAATTGTTAATGGCAGAGCTGAGTTTCAATTCTCATTGGGTTCATTATATTCACTTAGGTGCAAATACTTTGGGAAAGGTATGAATCCCCCTCTTCTCTCTCCAGCTATGGGTTAATTAATAAGACTTGTAGCACTAAACCATTATATCAAAAAAAAAAAAAAAAAAATCTTATCAAAAAATATTTCCTGGCTTTAAATAACCTGCAAAGCGTTGATAACTTGTAAAAAAAAAAAATGAATGAATCCATTCATGGACAAATACAAAAACGAAATAGTTTGGGAAGAATTCTTTATTTTAAAAAGTATTTTCTTTTCTTCCTCTATCAAATTGTGTTGTCATGCACTAATTAGTTTTCTTTGTTTTGACAGCCTGATTTAGAAAAAAGGTTACGTGATATTGCAATTGCCACAAGGCATACAAAAAAAAACAAAGGTTACTATAGGAATTTATTGATGTATGGACCACCAGGAACAGGAAAAACTATGTTTGCAAAGGTAAGATACTTGTCCCATTTCTGTTTTATCTTTAACAAGAAGACACATACTTCTCCTCCTTGTTCATTTTATATCATTTTGTATTCTTGATGTCGAGTTTCTAAATTATGTAAATGGCTTGATGCTTAATATATTAGAAAATGAATCCATGTTCTGATGAGATTTCCTCTTTTAGTACCTCAAATTCACAAAGCGCAGTACTAGCTAATGGCCTTCCGACCTTGATTCAGGACTGTGATGGCTGGTGTGACACAGTCGTGAATGTCTGAGCTAGCTTAACCAAACACTTAATAAATAAATAAATAAATAACTAGGTCTCAGTATTACACACTTGAAATTGCTAGATGTAATCATAAGTTCTATGCTAAAAGTTTCTCCTTCCCCACTTCTCTCTTCCGGCTTCTTGTTTTCCTGTCAACTATGATCTTCAAAAATTTAAATGGAATGTCAATAGTCATCTTATCTCCTGCAATACTATTCTCTTATTGTCCTCTCTGCTTATTTCACTTGCATCTTAGTGCTTAAGGCAAAATGATTTTGTGTTGTTTTTTTTTTGTTTTGTGTTGTTGTTTTTTTTTTTTGTTTTGTGTTGTTGTTTTTTTTTTTGTTTTGTGTTGTTGTTTTTTTGTTTTTTGTTTTTGTTTTTTTTTTTGTTTTGTGTTTTTGTTTTTTTTTGTTTTGTGTTGTTGTTTTTTTTTTGTTTTGTGTTGTTGTTTTTTTTTTTGTTTTGTGTTGTTGTTTTGTTTTTTGTTTTGTGTTGTTGTTTTGTTTTTTGTTTTGTGTTGTTGTTTTGTTTTTTGTTTTGTGTTGTTGTTTTGTTTTTTGTTTTGTGTTGTTGTTTTGTTTTTTGTTTTGTGTTGTTGTTTGTTTTTTGTTTTGTGTTGTTGTTTGTTTTTTGTTTTGTGTTGTTGTTTTGTTTTGTGTTGTTGTTTTGTTTTGTTGTTTTGTGTTGTTTTTTGTTTTTTGTTTTGTGTTGTTGTTTGTTTTTTGTTTTGTGTTGTTAAATTGCTGATGAGTAGTATTGTTTTCTGATAACAACTAGAGGAAGTCATGAACACAAATTATCATGAGCTCTTTTCCTTTTCTTTTTTTTCTTTTGCTAATGTCCCAGAGAAAGGCAAGTTGAATATTAAAACCGGTTTTGAAGATTGTGATTTATGTGCTGTGTCTCTTCAGGACATGGATGACCATGACTCTCAAAACATTCTTGTTCCTTCTAAGCAAAATTTAGCTCTTTAGCATCTCTCCTTGTCTCTACTCTGCCATTCATTCACTAAAATCCATTCAGTAAGTGGCTCACCATTTTTCTCTATCCTCTTTCCCTCAATATGCCCTTTTAAGTATTGAATTTTCAACGCCATCCTCCCTTCACACACACACACACACACACACATATATATATATATATATATATATATATATATATATATATATATATATATATATACACACATCCTACATTGAATGCACAACTCAGAGTTTTATGCTATTTGCCATCCTCAGGTACATGTTTAGGGGTGACACTATTTGTTTAAGATTTCCGATTATCACGAGATTTTATTGTTAGGGTGGATTATTATTGTTGTTAATTATTTAAATGAATTGTAGTTTAATTTTGGATTTGAATTTAGGTCCAGATTCACTTTTAAGATTGAAAATATATATATATATATATATATATATATATATATATATATTATAATAATTCAAATAACCAGGTTGGCAATGACTGGCCACTACTCTTAGTTTCATGTGCTTTCACACAATCTTCATGTAGCCAGTGATTTTTAATAAGATGAATACCCTATATACCAACAGGTGAGTTCAATTTGACAAGCAAACCAAACCCGCAAGGTTGGGGGAAGGGTAGATCATCCAGCCAAGGTCTAAAATGGCAAAAAAAAAAAAGTTTCCCATCTAGAAAGGCTTGCAAAAAGTGCTCAATAAATTGAAACAAGTTCCATGCCACAGGAGCTTAAACCATATATATATATATATATATATATATATATATATATATATACACACACACATAAGATCAAGCCAAGAAATCAACTTATTTGTTTTGATGGGTCAGTCGAGTTGATGTCTTCACACAGTTCTAATTTGCCAAAGCGAGATTTCTTATGCTAAAACAATATTTTGTCAGCTGGCAGTTTTCATAGTCCTTTTCTTTCGGAAATGGTTGGTGATCCACAGTTTCACATGCAGGTGTCCATTAGTCGATTCAGTTTGGTTGCAGTCATTTCATTCTCTAGTCTACAGACTTTGCTTTGTCTTTATTTCGATGGGCAGTCCACTCAAAATCTGGATTATTCATTTGGCAATGTTCATCTGCCACTGGTCAGACAGGAAATCTTTTAGATTTTTGCTGTCCCCAAAAATTGTCACGTCAGTTCCCTTTGTCATTGACTGGGAATGCAGGAGGATGGGAGTGCAAATCACTAAGAGTTTGCATGATGGCCAAAGATTCAATCAACCCTCAATAGGGTCTGATCATGTGATTGCAGCAGAAGAGCCTGATAGTGCCTGGAGTTCACTTATGGTCAACCATAACTTGTGGGTGGAAGAGAAGGTAAAGACAGAAAGAATATGGAGAGAAGGGTATGGCTGGTCATAGAACGTATTCACTCGCAACTTGAAAACATTTGATTTTATTTATTTTTTTTATTTCTAACTATTCTTCGACTAAAATTTGGGATTTTTCTTTATGGAAGGGTCTTTTTAGCCTTATGCCTATATAACTAATGAAATTGTAGGTACGTCACTATATATAATATATATATACACACACACATATATATTTGAAAATAACTCATGCTCATACATTTACTGATATTTATATTTTGAGATATGTATGTGTGTAATATATATATATATAGTTGCATGAATAGTAGTTTGTTTACCCCAAGTTTCATGCTTTTGTGATCATCAGACATACTGGTTTATTTTTTTTCTAAAGTGGATCTATTTATGCTTATTTGTGTGTAGTGGAGGGGAGGATTTTCCTTCTGTGTTTGTTTGGGATGACACTCTTACATTCATAGAGGTACACACACACACACACGTATGCATTTTAGTTCGTACACATAATGAATACACCTGTGTGTGTGTGTGTGTTGTTTTTTTTCTATGCATATGAGAGCCATCCCAAACGAACACAGAAGATAATCCCCCCTCTACCACCCACGAATAATCAAACACAAATAAGCATAAATAGATCCACTTTTGAAAAATAAACCAGTTTGTCTGATGATCGCAAAATGTGAAACCCTTGGTTACAAACTACTATCCATGCAACCACATATATTAGCTCTATCACAGATATTGAGCACTTTCCACTAAGTGCCGCATATATAATATATATATATATATTAGCAGCATGGCCCGGCGTTGCCCGTGCTTGATTCAAAAATCGTATGACTCGTGCAGCAATCGCTATCACTTAAAATATTTTTGCCCTTCTTTGCCTTTAAAGGAGTGCCCTTTGCCGTGCTGATGTTGCTACATGCCTTACTTCTTGCCTATCTCACACTGCAAATTTTTTCTAAGCTCTATACTAAACATTAAATCTGTTACGAAAAAAGAACTAAACAAAATGAACACAAAACAATCGGCTTTAAAAAAGGACTCATAACTGGAAAAACCGAATGAAAAAAAGTATGTTAACAACAAATACTTTTTCACACCCAACCCAGTTCTGCGGATTCAGAATCAATGTTGAGTTTAAGCAAGCAAATGAGCCAATTGGAGTAAAGTGCCATGCAGATTTAAATTTTTCCAACTTGTGACAAATGCAGCTATCAATTTTTTTTGCATGCTAGTTAACATTCATGTCAGTCAGCTGTTGGCTCTCACGCTGGCCAATAGAATCTTCCTGCCTATTCTGGGCAGCCAGCTATTGGCTCTCACTCTGGTCAGTACAAAATGGCCACAAACTACATGAAAACTGCTAGAGAAGCATGAAAACATCAATTATTTGTCGGTCTTAGCCTTCCCACTAACTTGGAGCATGTGCATGTAAATTTTGGTACAAATCTGTGAAAAATTGCAGCTGTGCATTCGTTACACACACACATATCCTGCCTTTTATTTATTTATATATATATTTGGTTGGATAAATGTGAGTTTGTGACCCTGGGTTTCACGCATTAGCGATCGTCAGACAAACTAATTAATGTTTTAAAAAATTTGGGTTTATGTAGATTGCGTGTATTGGTGTTATTGTGGAATTGGTGGGGGAAACTTTGTCGTTTTGTCATTCATCGTACTAACGTAAACATCGATGTATGCAGACACATATACATACTTGGTCGTCCGTCGGGACTCATACCTATATAAACATATGTGGGCAGTTTCGGATATGACATATATGTATGTATACGGGTGGTGTTATGTCTATACATACGCATTTATATGTTGAAATTTAAACATTGGAAGTGTGGCGGAAATGTCTCGTGAATGTATACATGTCATATTATGTATTTTTCCGCTGAAAAATATTTCCTCGCATGTATGTATATACGTGTGGTGGGGTTTGTGTAAAATTATGATAGGTAAAAATTATTATTTATATTTATTTTTAAATTTTTGAAAAAAAAATAAAATGGGGGTTTATTTGTTATATTTAAAGCTGGTTATTTGTTTTTGGTGACTGTGTATATGTAACAGGTAGAAATTTGTAATCCTTATTGGTTAATTTATATGGTGATGTTTAATATTCAATGTGCTGGGTGAGAGGGTAGTTCAATTTAATAACGGGTCTATATGATGTGATGGTAATGTTTCAAGGGATTGGAGACAATGATAATATAATTAACTAATAGTTATTGTAAATTGGTAGAAATGATTAGTAACAGTGGTGGAAGAATGATAAAACCATGAATGTAGTTATAGTAGTGGTAGTTAGTGGTGGTGAACTAAAAAGTGGTTGTTGGTGTTTTATTTTATTTTTATTTTATTTTGTTATATGTATTAATTTATTTTGGTATAAATCCTGATAATAGGTATTCTGTGTAAAATTATGGTAGTTGAAGATTGCTATAATTTTTAATTTTTAATTACAAAATTATTATAGTTATTATATTAAAGCTGCCTGGTAATAGGTGTTTATTCTCATGGTTACATATGGAAATTATATCTGATCATATTGTTTTAAGGTATTAAATATGCCTGGGGAGTAATAAAGATTGTAGTGGATTTATATGTTAATAGTGGGTGTGATGTGTAAGTGATGGTGCTGTGTGTTGGTGGTAATGATAATATTATTAGTTAATAGATATTGTAAAGTGGTAAAAGTGATTACTAATGGTGGTGCAATGATAATAATGATAGATGCAATTATTTTGATGGTATCTTGAAATTAAATTGTGATTGTTGGTGGTTTGTCTGTTTTATCCGTTTGGTATGAATTCGGATAATAGGTACTTGTTCTCATGCTTGCATTTGGAGATTATCTCTGATTTTTTGTTTAGTAAGTTCTTTTGTGGTTTGTGTGATATTATTGCTACTTTTTCGTGTAGGCAAAGTAGGCATTTTTAAATAATGTTGTTGTAGGCAGGGCTTTTTTTCAATATTTCCCAACTTATTGTTGGTGTGATGTTTTTGTCTTTTGCTGCCATATGTATGTAGAAAGTGTTGTGCTGTTTGAATATTTCCTGTTGTTGAATGAAAGGTTGTGATTGTTATTCCTCATCTTGAATGGACCTTTGGTGGCACCGATGTAGTGCATAGTGTTGTTGTTTGTACTTACCTTGGCCTTGTATATTGTGTTTAAATAAGTTGGCAATTTCCTGGAGCGCTTTCTAATAAGTACCACACATATAATATATAAATAATTATACATACATATATATATACACACTTTTCACACACACACACACACATATATATATATATATATATATATATATATTTATTTACATATACACTTTTCACACATATATATATATATATATATATATATATATATATATTTATATACACTTTTCACACACACATATATATATATATATATATATATATATATATATATATATTCACACAAACAAGTTTAATTTAAAAGAACTGACAAGGTCTCTTTAACAGCTTTGTTTTTTCCTTTATATTTGCACTTAAAAAATCTTTTGAATGTAAATATGCAGCATCAGATGCTAGAAAAACTTTATTTTTTTTCTATTTTTTTTCTATTTTTTTGTCTAAAAATAAGTTAAATACTGTTTCAATATTTAAGAGTATAAAAAAAAATGAACGTGCTGATTAAGTTTTTAGTGTAATAGACAAAAATGTATTTACTGGAAATACAATTTAACATTCCTCTTTTCTTTTTTCTAAATCTGAATTTTTTTTTTTTTTTTTTTTTTTTCTTCCAGAGTCTTTCTGAACATTCTGGTATGGATTATGCAATCATGACTGGTGGTGATGTTGCTCCTATGGGCCGGGAAGGCGTGACTGCTATGCACAAAGTATTCGATTGGGCCAAAACTAGCCGTAGAGGGTAAGTCTAATATCAACATTCTGTACCGCCGTTTTTTTTTTTTTTTTTTTTTTTTTTTTTTTTAAACTTGATTTGACCAGCCTTTTACATTTACTTAGTCCCATTTTATTTTTATTTTTTTCCTCTCCTCCACCACAAGCTATCAGCTATTCTCATTTTTGTGGGAGTGGATGGTACCTTACTAACTCTGTTTTAATTTCCTTTAAATTGTTTAGTGGAACTTATTTGATGTAATGGGTTTATCCCACCCCTCCTTTTTTGCATTTTGTAAAAAAAAAAAAAAAAAAAATGGACTCTCCTGTCAGTTTTGAGCTATGAGGATCTGAAATTTTGTGCAATAATCTTAAGTGGCATTTAAGACCCGCTAGTGATTTTCAAAGGACGCCACATATGGAGCAAGAGTGAGGATTGTGAGATGAGATCACTGTTAGATTGGCTGACGTTTTAGATCTTGCTCTCGCTTCTTGAAGATGATTCAGACAAGCAGATTGAAAACTGCTGAGTCCACTAAAACACGTTGATCTCCATTCTACCCACTCCAAGGCTAAGTGCTCAAGGGTGTTATGTAGTATATTGACAGCTGACAAGTTGCTTTTCAGCTTGTCTTTGTATCTTAGTCATGGGCGTCCTACATTCCTGTAGCCCTGCTCTAACTGGCTGTACATTAGGATCTTGGGTATCCTGTCATCAGACATTCTCAAGACATGACCAGTCCACCATAACTGAGACTGTACGAGAAAAGTCTCGATTCCTCCACTATTACACTTGTTAAACAGGTCTACATTAGATGTCCTATCTTGAAGGTTAACTCCGCAGATTGCAAGCAGACAGGTTTTATGGAAAATATCCAGCTGGCATATATGGTACCTGTATGGAGTTCACAACTCAGAGCCATACAAAAGGATGGCAAGTACAACAGCTCTGTAAACCCGAATTTTCATATCCAGTCGAATACTCCGCTTATTCCACAAGCGATGGTAAAGTTTGCCGAAAGCACTGGTAAGCCTTAGCAATCTAATGCATAATGCATGATTTCATCATCTAAAGTTCCACTGTAGTTGACTTTGTAACCAAGATAGGTGAAAGATTTTACATAGTTCGGGGCTTTGTATTCTACTTTCAATGGTCTCTCCGGAAATTTGTAGACTGGTGGTTTTTGTTTCTCACCACATAATTGCTTCGGAGTAGGACAAGGTTGGTGCACTACTTCAGTTTTCTTTATGCTAAGTGTAAGACCAAAGGCTTTACATGCAGCAGAGAAACGATTTATTTCATATATATATATATATATATATATATATATATATATATATATATATATATATATATATATATATATATATAATCATTAGGTACCTGTGAAAATGTGGTGTTTTGGTGCATGTGCAAACCGAATAGTGAAGCATGAGTTCTTATGGTGCTTGCATCAGTAGTTAGAATGAATGGGTCATGAATCAAACTAGCTCGAAGGATAGTTACTGGTGACCATATTCTCTCCCTTGTGCTAAAAGCATTGCATTTTGATAAATAAACTTTGTTTTTTTTTTTTTTTTGGCCAGGATCAATGCATAGTACCTGTCCAATTCATTTTACAAGGGTGAAGATGCCTGGTCCAACCATGTGGTAACACCTGCCTCATTATACTAAAAGAGGAAGGGTCAGTGGAATATCGATGTCATCATGACTGTGGTCATAGAGACTGGACAATTTTTGTATAGGCCAAAGGCAGTTCTACATTAAAAAGATCTTGTCATGGCTTGCCACTGTGGGGAAGCAACTAAATAACTTTTTTGAGACTTTCTCTCAGCCTATTGACTTAGAAGCACAAAATTAAGTGGTCTGTGTCTCCAAATAGTACATGTTTTGGAAAGAACTAGGCTTATTACCTGGTAACTGAGGCATCCCCAAAATGGGAAGTACCAAAGGGTTAGTACTGCTTTTAGCCTTGGTCCCATGTATGTGTGGGTCTCCCACTTTAAACTCAGCCTTTTGTCACATTCCCATGGGCATACAGATAAATAGTGTATCTTTGAAACTTGACTGGGAAACTTATGTCCGCTTGTTCTTAAACTACATCCAGCAGCAAGGCTCCTGATCAGGAGGTTTTGAAGAGTGTGGAACCACCTCTTAATTGCTGTTGTTCCTAGATCCACCCTAACCTATGATGGTAACATTTCTTAGGGTACCATCTATGGGCTAATAGTTAATCCTCAAACTGGGATTAAAACACTATGAAAGTGTAAAAATACCAGCAATACATTTTAAGTATTACCAGCAATGCATTTGGCGGGGGGGAATATTTGATTCTCAACAAAAACCATCTTTACAAAAATACATCAATGAAACCTGATCTACAAACTGATTTCTTACAAAGAATACATATTCTATTAATATGAGCCTATCCTAAAAATCATTTCAGCATTAAATAACCCATTGAGGTGTTTATATGTCATAAAACAAAATAAATCATAAACCAAACCATAAAACTAACTTGTGCCAGCGAAGAAACATTGGTAACAGAACATAGCTAAAATGGTATCAGGCTACAAAAATTCAACAAAATAACACTGATAAGAGGCCGACGCCGATAGTAACTTGATCACCCACATAGAAAAAGATTTTTTTTTTTTTTTTTTTTTCCATTTTTTTGTTATATAATGAACATTGAAGTCAACAGTAAGTTTCATGCCAGGGGCAATTGTCAGGCTGCGAATGCTGGATATTTCCTCGACTAATATATATATATATATATATATAATGAAGAAATATAGTCTTAAGGTGTGCTATATTTATGGGATAAAGTGCTCGATATCAGAGATAGAGCGTGTGTAAATATAAAAGTGAACATAGAATGATCATGCTATATGCAATCGTCAGGCCACATCGTGGCCTGACGATTGCATATAGCATGAAACAGACTGTCGCCTCTAAGTGTTGACTTCTATGTTCACTTATATATATGGGTTAGTGGTGCATTGTGGGTAATCTATCCTGGTGGTTATTTTTGCATAGGTGGCTTGTCTGTTTGTTTATTTGTTTGTTTTGGATTAATTTATTTGTTTTTCATTTTGTATTATTTATTCTGTTCAGTTTTTGATGTTTTATTAAACATAGTAAAGAAAGAAAATTGGGGTGGGGTGGATTTGCTTAGGTCACTTATTTAATAGTTAGTCTTGGTCTGAGAAGATAATTAAGGCTATTTATTCGTTCAGTGTTTAGATTGCTTACCGTAGTCTATTCTGTTAATTTAGCGGGGGTGGGGGGATAAGTTTTTAATTTATTTGGATTTATTATTTTTACTTGTTTTTGCTTTTTTAATTAATTCTAAGGGTTATTTTTAGTGGGGGCGATTTGTTAATTTGTTCATTCATTTATTTATTTGTATTAATTTTTATTTGATTTTATTTATTTACTTATTTTTTATTTTGTATATTTTTATTTACTCTATTTGGTTTTTGATTTTTGAGTAACGTATTAATGGGTTTTTTTTTTTTTTTTTATTGTTATATAGTAGTTATAGTTGGTTTTACGTCCAATTTTTGGATTGGTTGTTGTAGTCTATTCTAACGGTTATTTTGGTGGTATTGGTTTGTTAATTTGTTTATTATTTACTTTATTTCTTTGGGTTGGTTATTTTTACTTAATTTTTTATGTATTTTATTTTTTTTTTATTCTATTTTGTCTATTCTAATGGGAGTGGTTTGTTAATTTGTTTATTTGTTTGGGTTAATTTATTTTACTTGTTTTTTTTTTTTTCATATTATTTTGTTTATTTGTATTTATTCATTTCAGTTTTTGATTTTTAAGTAACGTAGTAGAAATTTGTTTACATGTCTGCATTTTGAAATGAGTTCAGATTGTTGGTTTAATAATTGGTCTGGGAAGGTAATAGCTATTTTTTCCTCCAAGCAAAGTTTGCAGGTTTTTGATTGATTGTTGTTGGCTGATGATCTTTTCCTTATTTTCCATGATATTTTTGGTGTGATTTGTGTTTTTATTTTCCCAGATACACTTGGAAAGCATTGTGCTGTTTGCATATTTACTATTTGTGAAAGATGTTTTGTGTGCATAGTTTCTTTGTTTCTAGGGTCCTTCAGTTACTCCTATGTATACTTTTTCTTCATTATCTTGTGATTTTACCATGGCTTAGTATATTACATTGTTTGGTAAGCAATTACTGTTTAAGGGACATTCATTCTTTATTCTACAGTTACATGTTGGCTTAATGAGTTTTTTGTTGATAGTTTTCCTGTTGTGCTTTTTTATTAAAAATTAAATTTTTAATTAAAGAAAAGCATAAATAAGCAAAAACAAGTAAAAATAATAAATCCAAATAAATTAAAAACTGCTCCCCCACCCCCCGCTAAAATAACAGAATAGACTATGGTAAGCAATCTAAACACTGAACAAATAAATAGCCTTAATTATCTTCTCAGACCAAGACTAACTATTAAATAAGTGACCTAAGCAAATCCACCCCACCCCAATTTTCTTTCTTTACTATGTTAATAAAACATCAAAAACCGAACAGAATAAATAATACAAAATGAAAAACAAATAAATTAACCCAAACAAACAAATAAATAAACAAACGAGCCACTCCCGCAAAAATAACCACCAGAATAGATTACCCACAATGCACCATTGACCTATATATATAATATAGTTGAGGAAAAATCCAGCGTTCACAGCCTGACAATTGCGCCTAGCCTGAAACAGCCTGTTGCCTCTGAGTATTGACTTCAATGTTCACTTTTATATTTACATACGCTCTATCTCTGATATTGAGCACTTTATCCTATAAATATAGCAAACCTTAAAACTATATATATATATATATATATATATATATATATATATATATATATATATATATATATATATTCTTAAGTTTTCCATTTAATAACCAGCAGGTGGTTCCTTTTCTAAGTGACACCCACTATAATCAGTGGACCAGTGAAAGGGTTTGGAGATCAAGTGACAACAAAACCGGAAATAGAATGCATCCAGATGCTGGTCTATATTAACAGCCCTGCTTGGGATCAGTCAGTTCTGGTCCACCCTTGGCAAGAGACTGACTTGTCCATTTTAACATGCTGACTGCCAGAGAGGTCATTACAAAATCTAACTACAAATGCCAACATTATGATAAACAACTTAGGCAATAATTTTTTTTTTTTTTCAAATCCTCTCTTTCTGAGATATCTGGATAAGGCATGTCATGTGGAACTAGAACAATATATCCTCGTGGACTAAATAAATGGATCTAGTTCAAAATTCCAACATATATCACCTGAAGAAGGCTGGAGCATACAGCAGTCAAAATGTTGTGAATACAACAATAAAGATGAGGACAACAGTCCAAACAATGTAAATAGTGTAAATTGCTGTCTGTTATATTTTTCAATAAATTTTTTCCATAAGATGTTTGCTTCTCATTGCCAATTTTTTTTTTTTTTTTTTCATTCCTGCCTTAGATGCCAAATATCAGTTATTTGCATTAAAAACAATGAAAAAATGTTTGTTTGTAGCCTTGATGGCAAGACCACAAAAAAGAACTTGTGGTTGGCATCATAAGAACTGCTAGCCACAGCTTATTTTGTGGTTGGCAATGTAAAATAGATTAAATAGCAGAAATTATTTCATAATGCTTTTCTTTAATGGGATGCTACATAATTTGTGATATATTTTACTCATAATCCCGTTTATATGGTATTTCATGTGTAGAAATTTAATTCTTGTTTTTTTTCATGGGTCTCCGGTTGCTTGAGCAGTTTTTGTTTCTTCCAACCTTTTAGCTGTCTGAATGATTTAAATGAATATGTTGTAAAATGAGAGGAAAATATTTTTACTCTTCACCCCCTTTGTCTCTTGCTACTTTGAAACTGCTTTAAGTATGAATCAATTTGTTGTAGAAAACGAAAACAAATTAAGTTTTTGTTGATTTTAAGCAAGAAATATTTTATCATTTGCTAAAAGTAAGATTTTTCTTGAGGGTTTAAACAAATTTTTTTATGATTTCTAAAATTTAGTTTGAATAAGCAAAATGTTTTTTTACGTTATTTATGGTAACTTTAAACTTTTTTGTTATTCGTTCTTGTTATTGGATTTTAATGTTTTTATTCCAATGATTATCTGATACAATTCAGAAATATAAAAAAAAAAGTAGTAAGTCAGAAGGGGAACCTGGGTTTGCAAGGAGACTAATGTCTGTTCAGTTATAAATTTGGAAATCAGCAATAATTTGTGATTGTGTTAATAAGTAATTCTGGTTATTGCTGCTGATATTAGTGAATTTGTTGATGACTCTGTAGAGCTGATAACTTCACCGATTTGTGTGTTTTTAATGAGTATGATTAGCTCTAGAGTAAGGGTTCAAAAACTGGGTCTTCATTGATCCATTTCCATTGGTTATATAATACTTTCTTTTTTTTTTTTAATTTTATTTACTGTTTGATTCTGGCTTCCTTCCTATCATTGAACAAAAGTGAAATTTTTTTGGTTCCTTATTTGTTCTTTGAATAAAACATAGTCACTAAAAAATCCTGAATATTTTTTTTCTCAGTTTGCTCCTGTTTGTGGATGAATCTGATGCCTTTTTGAAAAAAAGAAGCAAGGTAAGAATTTTTTTTTTTTTTTTTTTTTACCAATAAAGAAAATCTATTTACATTAACCTTTTAGCATTCAACACACTCAAACCCACCCTGTAAATATCGGCTTTCAAATGTTGGTGTATATTATGAAAGTGGGTTACAGCTGGTTGAATGCTGTTGTTTGTTGGTGTGTTTTTATTGCATATTTTCTATTCTTGATCACTTGATTATAATGATAATTACTTGCCATTTGTATTTTCATTGTCTGAACTTGATAATTAAACAGGTAAGGAATTAATTTTTTTAAGAAATAATGTAGAATTTTATCAAATTAGGAACAAAAACAAGTCCTGTGAGAATATTTGGAAAAATTGCAGTGATTGGTATCATCTAAGTTAATGTTCTAAACAGAAAGATTGTATAGCCCTATTCTCTCAGCATCGATTATATTATCTGCTGTCAAGTTATTTTCAATGCTTTTCTATAGGAAAAATCTGAAATACTTTTGCTTATTAAAAAAAAAAAAAAAAAAATCTGCTTTTCTACAGTAAGACTAAGATATATATATATATATATATATATATATATATATATATATATATATATATATATATATATATATATATATATATATAGAGAGGGAGAGAGACTGACTATTAGTGATCAGTATAGATATTTTCAGAAGGGTATAAATCCAGGAGAAATTGTCGTTAGATCCAACATGCTTTTAACTGCCTCTGCCATGAAGTGCATCACAAATCAAGTAAGGTCAAATACTGTCTTCAAGCACAATCCTTCTCATTCCTGATTCTCGAAAGTTCATATCTGCTTAGTTTCATATCTGAAATGTAAACAAAGCAATTTCTAAAGTAATGGATTTTTTTATTTATTAATCCAATATATTTTTATTACTTTAAATGTTATTTTAAGTGGATACCCATATTTGAGTAAATCCTCTATTTATTTTAAACAGTATACTTAATTATATAATAATATACCAATAAAGATGAGGACAACAATGTGAATAGTTACAATACCTTGTTTCAGCAATATAAAAAGATATGAAACCTTCTGAAATAAAAAGTGCTTTTGGGAGAAAACCTTTTAGAATAAAAATACTTTATCCTGTCACCCTTCTCTTCTTTCTACAATCCCTTAACATCTTTTCTTCACTTTTTGTTATGATAGCATCAATCTATCAACACAATGCCATCCAGTTTATGGGGCTGGTCAAGTTGCTATACACTCTTGGGTTCAAATCTTCTGCATTTCATTTCACAATATATATTTAATATTGGGGACAATGACTAGTTTCTATATCTTACTAACAAGTGTTTAACAGACTACAAAAGGGCAACTTTATTGACTAAATCATTTTCTTTTATGTGTCAATATGCCCAGTCATTGTGTATCAACTGTAATTTTTTTTTTTTTTTTTTTTTCACAATTAACAAAATTCCATTATGACTAGTTGCTTTCTAAGAATAGACAAATTTTTCTTTATCTGAATAAGTTTTAAAATGATTTGATTCATAGATTTTAAATTAAAAATTTATACCATTTTAATTGCAACAGAATCCAAAAGTAACACTATTTTTATTTGTTCTATAGACACTGCATGCAAGTCAATTAATCTGGGTTTCAAAATTGCTTCTTTGTCTTGTACAATAAAAAGATCTATAATTTTGTATAGTTTGGAAAGCAGTTATGTTTAAAAATGTAATGGAAATTGTTTTGTAACCAGCATTTATGGGTAGCAATTACTGTACAGTTAAGTATTGACTTGAAATGACTAATTCTTTGTTGCACTTTTCTTCTATGTTTTTGCTTAGGAACAAATCAGTGAGGATCTTAGAGCAACACTTAATGCCTTTTTGTATCGAACTGGAGAACAATCCAACAAGTAAGATATGTTTCATTTCTGTGTTGTTTTTTTTTTTTCTTTTTCCTTTTTCCTTTTTGCTTTCATATTTTGTTTCCTTTTTTCTTTAATTAGTAAATAATATTTTTTCTTTTACTTTTTCTTCTCTCTGTCTCTGTTTTTTCCTGTGTGTGTGTCTCTTCTCTGTGTGTGTCTCTTCTCTGTCTGTGTGTGTGTGTGTGTGTCTCTTCACTGTGTGTGTGTGTCTCCTCTCTGTCTGTCTGTGTGTCTCTGTCTCCTCTCTGTCTCCTCTCTGTCTCTGTCTCTGTCTCCTCTCTGTCTCTGTCTCCTGTCTCCTCTCTGTCTCCTCTCTGTCTCTGTCTCCTCTCTGTCTCTGTCTCCTCTCTGTCTCTGTCTCCTCTCTGTCTCTGTCTCCTCTCTGTCCCTCTCTCTCTGTCTCCTCTCTGTCTCCTCTCTGTCTCCCCTCTGTCTCCTCCTCTCTGTCTCTCTCCTGTCTCTCCTCTGTCTCCTCTCTGTCTCCTCTCTGTCTCTGTCTCCTCTCTCTGTCTCTGTCTCTGTCTCTGTCTCCCCTCTGTCTCCTCTCTGTCTCTGTCTCCTCTCTGTCTCCTCTCTGTCTCTGTCTCTGTCTCTGTCTCCTCTGTCTGTCTCCTCTCTGTCTCTGTCTCCTGTCTCTGTCTCCTCTCTGTCTGTCTCCTCTCTCTGTCTCTCTCTGTCTCCTCTCTGTCTCTCCTCTCTGTCTCTGTCTCCTCTCTGTCTCCTCTCTGTCTCTGTCTCCTCTCTGTCTCCTCTCTGTCTCTGTCTCCTCTCTGTCTCTGTCTCCTCTCTGTCTCCTCTCTGTCTCTGTCTCCTCTCTGTCTCCTCTCTGTCTCTGTCTCCTCTCTGTCTAATGAATGAATAATTTTTTTATCAGAGCAAAATATGTAAGCCAAATTCAAAGCTGATCTAATGAAAATGTCAAAAAAAAAAAATCATCAAACTTAGTTTTATCCAAGTTGCTCTTTCAAGTGAATTTGAATTGTGTATAACTAGCAGAAGGGGAATGAGCGTTTGTGGGCAGTTTTTATTTACCTCACACTAATGACCTTGCATGACTAGAAGGAATGAATCAACATTTCTTGCAGGTGACTTTAGCAAATTCATTTGTTTAACATGTTCCTTGGACATCTGAACCATGTATATCAATTATTATATCAAGTCTTTTATTAGCTGCAAATAAATAAAATTAAATTCATTAAAATATTTTTAATGTATATTCTTGTCAACGGCTTTTTTTTTTTCCTCCGTCTCCATAATCCCTTAGAATACATTTGTGCATCATGTTTTTTTTTTTTTTTTTTGTTTTACAATGGACACATGCTGTTCAGACAATATTAGAAAAAGCTAATATCTTTGTTTTTCAGCCTTGTCAAATGATGTTGGCATGTATGCATACATATACAGATATTTATTTAGCTTACTCTTGTATCAGGCATCATTAGTGGTAGATTGAGTGAAGATGGAACACAAAATTTGCTTGCTAACTATTGCTTTATGTTAAGTACCCCTACTCACTAGCTGAAGATGTTGCCTTAATTGAGTATATACTGTTTTTTTTTTTTTTCCTTTTTTTAATCTTAATTCTAAGTAACAATTCTATACAGCAGGGAACATAAGGAAAAATAAAATTATTGCATAGCACATTGAGTGTTACTGGAATTTCATCCATATTCTCTATTTGGCTCAATTCAAAAATGAGTTTCTTTTTGTGCATTTAGAAAAAAAAATCTTATTTCTTCTATGTTTGAATTTCACCATGTATTTTGTGCTCAGTTTTTGCAATTAAATTTTCTAGTTTATGTACGTTTTTTTTTTTTTTTTTTTTTTTTTTTTTAACTATAATGTTATGATCTTAATTATATATAATGGCTCTATTGAAAAAAAATACAATACTCAGAAATGGATTTCCTGAGTAATCTTGTAATGCTTAAACATTGCCAGATGTACTGCATTTACCAATTTCACTTGGTTTTATCTTTTTTTTTTTTAAATTATACAAGGAAAATAATGTTGTTGCATAGAAAACTATATAATCTGATTTAATTGGATATCTTTTTTTCTGTAAGTATTTTGTGAAATTAAAACATCTCCATCAGATATCAGTTCACATCAGATTTTTTTTGTTTTTATTTACCACCTTTTTTTCCTTTGTAGATTCATGTTGGTATTGTCCAGTAATCAGCCCGAACAATTTGATTGGGCCATTAATGATCGTCTTGATGAAATGGTCGAGTTTGTCTTGCCAACATTACCAGAAAGAGAACGTATGGTCAGACAGTATTTTGATGAATTTGTTCTCAAACCAGCCACCGAAGGAAAAAGGTGAGTTCTTTTCAACTATGAAAATTTTACTCAGCAGGAAATCATTTTTCTTTCTCTTTTAATTAGAAACAAACACGATTTTTAAAAAGATAAACTTAAGAGCTACACATGAACTGTGAATTTATTTTATGTGGTTTCTGAACAAAATTTACGTTTTTTTTTTTTTTTTTTATTATTTATAGATCCTTTAATTTATAGGATAGAATATCAGGTGTAAACAGAATTTCTCTTTTATTTTATTTTTTTTTATTTTTATTTTTTTTTTAACCTGAAAATGAATTATTTAATGAAACTTGTTAATCAAGTTTTGATTAGACAAAATGGGGTGATTTTTAAAAATGTTAATGTCCTGCAGTTGTTGCACTACTTGAAACAGTTTGTAAGCAGGCTTTTATATTTGGCATTTATATTTTTTTTATTAAATTTTTTATTAATTTTTTTTTTTCTTTATATATACATAGGCGTTTGAAAGTCGCCCAGTTTGATTATAGTTTAAAGTGTTCAGAAATTGCAAAGAACACTGATGGACTTTCTGGACGTGAGATTGCAAAATTGGGTGTGGCATGGCAGGTAAGTAATTGAGTAATTGTTTTCATTTTCTGTAAATGAAATGTTTTTGCTGTCTGTTGTAGTCTTTATGCATGCCCCTTTTTTTTTTTTTTTTTTTTTTTTTAGGGCTGGGATTTATAAGGCATAGATTAATATTTACTAAGCTTAGTGTAACACAGAACCCCCCAAAATAGGGAGATTGTGTTGTAGCAAAGTCTTAAATGACAAGACTTGCATTATAAAGTCACCTTTTATAAATCTTGGTTTTATTGGGCTCAAACACTGACCTCCTAGAACAAAGCATCAATGGTAAATACAAATATGTCGGATCAAAAGTAAATTTAATTACTGTACCTGATTTGATATGCACCCCACCAATTTTTTTTTTTTTTTTTTTTTTTTTTATGGTGAGATCTTAAAAAAATATATATCCCAGATCTTATATATAAATTTGATGTATCACTAAGTTGCTTTTTGTTTTGTTAGTACTTTTTATTATGCCATGAAATATTCTTTGCTTTTGTTTTTATTCACCTTGAAAATATAACACTACCTTCCAATATAGAAAAAAAATTGTATCTGTTTAATAAATTTGGCCAGAATTACAATCTATATCAATCACAATCAGCCTTGTATTGTAATTTCCATATCTTTGACATTGAATTGTAGAGGCACTATAAATAAAGCAGAAACCTTTTGTTCTGTAACCCTTCAGGCAAATTCCTATTTTTTTTTTTTTTTTTTTTTTTTTTTTTTTTCGGTAGCCCTAAGCAATGTTTGTTCCTTTACTATCCCGAGTTCGTTTTGCCATCCTTGTCTGTACCTAGAAAGAGACTGTTGAAATTTCTAGGGCACATAGAAGATTTGGAGAATTTGACACTCACAGGACATATTGAAGACAATTGGGAAACATTAAGTAAACTTGTTTAAAAGAAAGGTTTCTGCCAAAGTTTTGTTCCCACTCAATAGTACACATCCGTGTAGCATGCGTGCATAATCTCAAAGACAGCCAGATAAATGGCTTCAGGCAATTAAAACTAAAGACAAAGTCCTGTGCATCAGCAGGTTTATTAATAACCAAAAAGGTGTGTTTTATTCCATGATAAGGTAATAAATACTTAACACCAGGTGGATAATAGAAGAAAGGTTTATTGTACACAACCAGTATAATATGAAATATGGTACAGTTATACACACAGGTCAATCTAGTAGTGAGTGCCACTAATTGGAAAGTTGGACTAGCTTGCCTCTTCTTGCTCTCACTCTTCCTCAAGTCTCTTGTAGACAATTGACTTTATAGGTACTATCTATAGTATAATCATTCATGGAGGTGACTGGTTATTCCATTACATTGGGGTAAAACTAGAAAAAGAAATAAATACATATAAATAAGTGGGCTCTGTTGGTTTTGAGCAAACACAAATCTGCCTGAGCGAGCATCTGAATTTGGGATTGGCTAGCCACCCTTAGTAAACGGGTATCTTCAAATACAAGTGGCCAGCTATTTATATTTCATTATATATATATATATATATATATATATATATATATATATATATATATAAAAGGTACAACAATGTACTCTGATAGCATTTCATTTTTCTATTGGTTAGCAAATGTTTGTTTATAATACGATACATTAAAGACCTGCTTTCTCATTCAATTTCAATATATTAATTCTTTTGTCTTTTGAAATATGTAATTGCAATTGTTTCTTCTACTTTTCAGGCCACAGCTTATGCATCTGATGATGGCATCTTAACAGAATCAATGGTTGATGCCATTGTGGCTAATGCAATCAAACAACATCACCAAAAGGTCTTATGGCAACATGATGATTCTGGAAGTGGTTCTGCTTTCCTAGAGCCTCAAGACATTTCCATTCCTATAGATAGCAAATCTACCTCTTCCTCAAAAGTAACACCAACATCACCCTCGTCAGCTCACTCTAAATCGCCATCCATATCCAGTTAATAGTGTATTGAATTGTAGGTCTTGTATAATGTTCTATGGTGATTTGCCCAGATTGTATGTGTTGTGGTATGAGCAGTTGTCCTGTTCATATGCCTATTTTGAATTAGAAATCTTTTTCCATTCTTTTAGTCTGAATGAAGGGCCCAATGCAAAGAAGAAAATGTTATTGCACCATATTGTTGGTTGGCGATTAAGGACCCCCCCACACACACACACACTTTTTTCCTCCCCAATATACTGAACTGTAAAAGTATAGATGAAACACTGCTATGCAAAGAATGTTGATTTTTTTTTTTTTTTTTTTTTTTTTTTTTTAGATCTTGAATCTTCACCCATCAGAAGATGGGCTCTATATGCTTTCATAATTTGTTTTCTTAATGAATGTAAGTACTCAATGAACTCACACTTAAGGTGGAACATCAAACTGCTCAGCTGCCAGTCTGCTGCTCTAACCATTACTCAATTGAACCTGCTGATGCAGTTTTATGAAGAATATTTTATAGTCTGAACAAAAATGTTCAACAATTCAAAATGAAAATCCCAGCTTCTACACTCTAATAGGAACTGAAAATTAAGCCTCATGACATAAATGAGTAAAGAAAATGTAGTTTATAAATCTGTTTGAAAATGTCAAAATTGTGGATTTTAGATTTTCATTCCAACAAAAACAAAGCCAAAAATCTAATTCCATTTGGTACATTTTAAAACATGCTTATAAATTTCTCTTGTTTCATGCCATATTGGCATTGTAACATATACTAAATATGTATTACATATTTAGTATATCTTGAAATTGATGTACAATGCTTCAGGAAAAGCACTAATATAGATAAGATATTTTTGGTACTATGACCTACTAATTTTTGATACAGAAATGATTTATATAAAAATTAAGCATTCTTTTTAATAAAAAAATGTGCAATTGGAACTGATGTCAAACTTAGTCAAGATATTGAATTTTAAGTGTCTGGTTGATCCTGATACAGTATTTAAAAAGCTGATTAGATGAACCTAGGAAAAAATTGTTTCAGGACTTTACAAATGATTTCCATGAGTAAATTAAAAATGATGAAACTGTTTACAATATGGCTCTAAAAAATATGTATATATTTTACATTAGGAAATTAGTTTGTGTGAGAAAGATGGTAACTATAGGATGAAGAAATTTAAAAACTTGGGAAATGTTTATTTGACTGTACACGAAGACTAATATTCTGATTGATTTTAGGATTTCATGAGAATAAGTTCTATAGTTTTTTCAATCTACAAAAAAGTCTCTAGTGAATATTAGTTTTAATGTTACTTTATGACATTTCTTAAAATACACATTTTACTTTAATTTCATTATTGGCATGATGAAACTCAGATTAATCAAAAAATTGATATTATGGCTGCCACAACACAAAATAAGATTCTTAGAAATTTAAGTTGAAGGAAAAGATTACATGTAATAATGAAAAGTGGGTTTTATTTAACATATAATACAATAACATTTATAAACAGTCAGGCTGAGGTTTAAACAATATACATTGGGAAATGCTAACAGTTGATAAGCGTGTGAGAACCCAGAAAGTAGTTGGCTTAACGTGTAGCTATATGAGGGAGTTGGAGAGGAAATCCTTATACAGTTAAGATTAAGGTGGCAGATGGGAAATCATCGCTAGTCAAAGAATAATATTATTTTCTTCTTAGAAAAATAGTTGGATATTCTCATGTATATAAAACAAAGGAGTGTGGTTCATAATATCAAGGAATAAAAGGTAATGTATTTACATTTTTGAGGACTGTCAGAACTTAGATTCTTTTGGTCGAAGCTTTGTTCATGAATCAAACGGACTGGAGTTGACCTCAGTAGTCATGGCTGCGGGTTCTGGAGGCAACTGGCTAGTTGGTACGAACTGTTTATATATGTTTTTTGTACCCTCTAGAACCCAGTGAAGTTTCTAGAGACTTCTAGAAAGTTCCGTTCTATTATGAAATTTAAAGGGTTTGGTGAATGGGAGTTTTTCATAAGGTAAAAAGGGCATCTAGTAGCTACAGATTTAAGTCATCATTTTAAGCTAGGTTTTGTATTTTATGGTGCAAGTGTAAAGAGGTAGGACAAAATGGGGCCTCATAACATTTTAAGCAAGCAGCAAGGCTAAGATATTTGTTAACAGAAAGTATCTGAAATTCCTAAATTTCAAGTTTTTATTTTAAGCATGAAATAAATCTCAAACTTAGCAATTTTTTTTTTTTTTTTTTTAAGTGTGACTAGACTCGGCTAAAATTACCTGATGCTTTGAAAAAAAATAATAATAATAAAAAAACAAATGTATCATGTCAACCAGTACGCATTCAATTTAAAGTAATTTCTTTATCTTCCTTGAATAAATCATCTACTTCAGAAATTTGTATAAGAATTTAATGTAAATATTAATATCTATGAAGGTAATATTTGCATTGAAATAATTTTTTTTTTTTTTTCATTGGCAAACCAAAACTTGTGATATTTTTTTTCCCCATCATTTAAATAGTTTAAACCAAGCATGTCAAATTCAGGGCATATGGAGAGCCATATCTGCAGCCTCAAGGCCCACACCTACTTACAGTCTTACATTAATCACAGCCAGTGGTAACTAAAGTTTAAATACAAAATACTTACAATACAAGGTAGTACAATTTAATCATTGTTGTCCTTATGATTGACATTGCTTTAGACAAACTATTTTTGATATATCAGGTTGGAATGTCTGTGTAGATCCCACTTTGATCAAGTTAATCTGGTTCTGTGAGACGATTTTGTGGCCTTCATAAATGAAAATAACTGTTCAGACATATGTGGAACCAAACATCGCCATAATCTTTGTGGCAAACTTTCTGAACTTCTTAAATGTCTGAGGAAGGTATAAAAAAATCTTGAAAATTGAGGGCCACCAAGATGCATATAATGGGCCATATGCGACCCACCAGGCTCCCAGTTTGACACACCTGGTTTAAACTATGATTAAACAAGTGTCTATATACAGCTGACCATATTGCAGGAGTGAAGATCAAATTTTGTCAATGACAAAGACTATTACAAATTTGTTGGGTTCCAGTGGCATAAATATCACCAAGTGAAAATAAAGTTGCTTCAAGCTGTAACAATTATTGCTGATATAAAACTGCTTGTTGAGCTTTTATATTGAATTCTGAGGTGAAGAATGCAATGCATTTTTTTTTTTTTTTTTTTTTTTTAGTCCACACTTTCATTGTTACTAAAAGGCTACAAGATTTTCTTGATAAAAACCAGTTAAGATGGAAGAATTTGTTTAGACTGTTGAATTCCTTTGTGTTACTTACGTTGTTACCACGTTTTGACTGATCTATTCTCTAGCCTTCTTCAGGTGTATATTCTGCAAGAACAGAGAAGGGATGTCTTCTTCACAAAACAATATGGCAAACAGAAAATGATTACTAAAATACACATTTGATGGAAGGGTCATCTTGTCCTGTGAAAAAGAAACCACTCTTTTTCAGATTATGCACTTAAAAAAATTTTAGAAAAGATTTACCAAACTTTTGTACTCATAACACAGAGGCCATTTGTATGAACAAATCTTGAAATAATAATATTCATTCATTGTACCAAGAAGTTAATTTTAATCTTCCTGAAGAAATGCAATATGCATTCCAGAAGTATAACTTTGATACAATTAAACCTTTCTTTCTCCACTGTGAGCTTGAGGCTACAGACCACAGTAGCTTTGTTCTTGGAATGAAACCTCAGAACTCTTAAATTCTAGCCACCCCAACATCGGAAAAGTAATATTTATAAGTGATAATCATATTAAGTTATTGTATAAATCAAGGAGCTGTATACAGATTGTAGTGTGAATGACTGGATCATATCAAAATTATGTATGCTACAAAGTTTGTGTACTCAGTTGTGGCAAATTTTGTTGTTTTGATTCCTACTATAATGGTGCTTGCATATTATGAACCCACCAGACTTATTTCTGAATCCAAAAGGATTTCTTAAACTAAATCAGAGTAACTATTTTATGTCAAGTTGACACAAAAGTGCTTTTGGAATCATGAAAGAAAAAAAAAATTTTTTTTTTTTTTTTTTTATCCTCTTACTCTCACAAATAGATTATTGAAGTGCTGAAAAGTTCTCAGCTCAGCCCACCATTTTTTTTTTTTTTTAAGAATTTTTCAGTACTTCTCATATCAATAAATGGAAGTAAAATTGAGGTTGTTGTTTTTAAGGTGAGTGTACACTCCTAATAAAATGTCCTCCCCATCCAATTCATTTTCTTTTTCCTCCTCTTACATGAGGACTTACATGATTGTTGAAGCAAGCATTGACTGCATAAATACTGTGTGTGTGTGTGAGAGAGGGCAGGCAGGCAGGCATTTAGCAAACAATTGGAGGGTGGGGGCATTGAAAATATTCGCTTCATCCAACTTTTCAATTTATAAAAGGTTTTTCTTTTTTTTTGCTGTCTGTCACAGAAGGATGCAATTTTTAGATTAAGTTTTTCATTCTAATCTGGAGGAACCATAAAGAAAATATTTGGTTTTTGTGGTTGGAATTCTAGAAGTAATTTTCTTCTTCTTCCTCCACCAAAAGTGAACTTTTTTTTTTTTTCTTTTTCCCTCTCTCTCTCATGCTGTGATCATCAAATTGTGAAACTTGAGTTAATACATGACCCTTAAACTGCTGGGTTTAATTAGCATTCAACTTGTTTTGTTGTTGTTCTTTTTTTTTTTTTCTTTTTTTTTACTGATTTAATATTGTGAAATCAATTTCTTCTTAACTGTAGAAAATATTACAAAAATCAAACTCCCTCAAATAGTCCTGGGATCACAGCTCTTGGCACACTAGGCATTGCTGCTGTGGTTTCCATAGGAACTAGTAGGTTGCTACAGGATGGAGTGAGTAGCCCCATGCCTAACTGATTTTGAATTCAGAGTTGTCCTCCTAGACTGGTTACTAACCATAATCAGTCTACCCTACTATTTAACCCATAGCTGTTGGGGAGAGTAGATGGATTCATACATTTCCCAAGGGTATTTGTGCATAAGTGAATGCAATGAACTCTACTGGAATTTGAACATTGAGCCACTATTCATTACACCACCTGCACATTTTCATTGAAAGAAACGGATAAAAAAAAATGGAAAAACCTGTTTTCTTTTTCTCTCTCTCTCTCCCTCTTTTTCTTTTTCTCTCTCTCTCTCCCTCTTTTTCTTTTTCTCTCTCCCTTTTTTTCTTTTTCTCTCTTTTTCTTTTTCTCTCTTTTTCTTTTTCTCTCTTTTTCTTTTTCTCTCTCTCTCTCACTCTCTCTCTTTTTCTTTTTCTCTCTCTCTCTCACTCTCTCTTGACATTAATACACATTGTGTAGCACAAGTAATAGGATAGCATTAGCCATTCTACCCATAATCGTCAAATCACGTGAAAATAAAAATCTTTAATGTGCCAAACTTCTTAATAAGCAGTAGTAGCACACCTGAAGGTCATCATGGTGGTTCTCCACAGATTCCTTTACTTTATTATTTGTGAATTGCCATGCCTTCTTGGGAAAGATAGTTTGGGAATAATTTCCTGTTGCCTTCTTCATGCTTTCGAATTCAGTTTCCTTTCTCTTCAACTGGTTAGCACCAAAGAATTGATCATGCTGCTATTTTTTTTATTTATTATTTTTTTTTTTGTTTTCAACTCATGTTCATTAATACAAGGCCAAAGAGCCACTCAAGGTAGAGGGTTACTGAATGTTATATAGATGTAAATGGAGAATTGCAGTTTAAGATTATATAGGAGAGGTAATGGTTAACTTGAAGAGGTTAAGAGTGTAGTGATCAAAGAAAAAAAATCCTGTTGGGAGTCTATTCCACAAAGCAGCAGTTCTTGGGAAGAAGCTATCAGAGTGGAACTTCCTAATGGACTATACAGGGAATGAGGATGATTCAGGACTGGTGCAACTAAGGAACATAGTTTGTCAAAACATTTACTGTGAAAATATCAAAGGATAATGAGAGGCTTCTAACATTTTGTCTGTGGGGAAAGAGGTTGTTGAGTGGAAAATAATTACCCACAAGGCAACGTAAACACTTTTGAACTCTATCAAGACAGACAAGTGAGAATGAGGCAGCTGCAGCCTAGACATGGCAACAATAGTATATTTTTGGTCTGATCTAATTTTCTGGAATAGTACAAGGAACCGACCATTTTTCCTCCATCTTGGAAAGAGAATAGATGGATTCATACATTTGTCAAGAATAAAAGTGAAAGTCAAAATTTAATCTTGACTTGATTCCATGTACCAAAAATTATTACCATTATCAGCATACAAGTCAACCTTTTAACCTTAAAATCTCCCTCCAAAAATAGGGAGCCGTCTTATACTCCTAGTATAAAATGTGAAACTTAAATCGTTAAAGTTGTGAACATGGGAGATTTTTGATGGTAGGCAAACCCCTGCCTTGGTAACTATCGACACAAATACTTTCTACTGAAACAATTTAATTCACATTATTATTATAATAAAAGTACTCTTACCTTATATGGTACGTTTGCATGGCAACAATAAAACGTATATTCATTGAGAGAGAAATACAAAGCCATCGTCACACACTAAACAAAACAACTGCTAGACTTTGGATGCATTCAAAGAGCTTTGCCAAACTGTGTTCAGGAAAAAAGATGTATATAGTAATAATTCAAGGAATAAACTGGTAATCATAGTTTAGCATACTTGTGGAGAAATTGACTGTTGGTCAGGCAGGAAAGGAGCAGTGTACTTACCTTATGTTGTTAAAATTCTTACTAAAAAAAGCTTGTTAATTTCTTTACTAACCCTTTATAGTTATACTGGTCACGTGACAGGATTACCATGTGATTCCAGAAGTTGTATAAAAGAAGAGTAAATTTCTCTCCTTTCTTTCCTTTTCTCTTTTTTTCTTTTCTCTTTTCTTTTCTTTTCTCTTTCTCTCTCTCTTTAATAATATTACCTCCCATGTTAGATTGCATTTTTTTCCTTGATCTGACCAACCTCTGTTTGAAGGATTGGGAGCATTTTCCCAACATACTAGCCAGTTCTTTTTGGCTCGTGGGGAAGTGTGAGCTCTTACTTTGTTACTATCATTATCCAGGGTAAGATAATTAGAATCCAGGTATCACATGACCCCATGATGCTCCTGTGGGGAAAATTGTGAAAATGGCTTACCTCGGAAACGCGTTCGAATCTGCGCAGTATGCAAACTCTGGTCCTTCCAACGGTAAAAGAAAACCAAAATGGCGGCGCCCACGTTTTATGCCGGGCGGTCTCGATTAGTTAACGCGAAATCTCGTTGTCTCATCATTCGCATGCAAATCGTGGTCGGTCCCATTTGTATAAAGCAGGCTCGTTTTTGCTGTTTCAGATCAGAGGGCTTTCAGCTCGTGAGAAGATTGACGTCGACACGGTTTTCTTTGTGCCTACCTGCTATCATCAGTTGAATTGTTGCGTTACACACACAAGCTATTTCGCAATGGACAAGTTCGATCTAAAATTGATCCCAGAATTCGACGGCTCCCACGGGCCCGACTATCATCGAATGGTTTGAAAAAGCCAAGTGTTTGCAGGGTGTTCAAAATAAAGGAACCTGCACTAGTCATCCCACTGAGACTCACGGAGGAGCCTTCACGCAGTATATCAACAACTTCGGGGACGATGCTGACCTAGAAGAGATCAAGGACGCCCTGTATACAGCCTTTGAATAGACCCATTCATCGCTTGGAAACAGTTCGTCGGACGACGGCTCGAGCCAGGTGAGACCATGGATGTTTACCTGGCTGATTTGGCGAAGGCTGGCAGTACAGTTTGGTGGAGCAACGGACCGCATACTGGGGTGCACCTTCCTGGCAGGGCTTCTCGACGACACCAGTCGGCTCCTGCGTAGTGTCTTCAAGATTGGACACACTGGGAATTGACGAATTGCTAGCCAGGGCCCAAACATCTTGAAGGACACGGAACAGATCGCGGCAGCCGTCTGCGTGTGCGCCTGAGACACCGAGGGAGGGCCCAAAGTGCTACAAGTGCGGTGGACCCAACCATTTCTCTAGGGACTGCCGGAGCTGAAGTGACGAGGAGGGAGCAGCAGATGGAACTGAGCACGCACTACGCTGCTATCGCTGCAAAGAGTTAGGCCATGTAGCACAGGATTGCTCCTCCAATGAGTCCGGGGCAAGGTGCTGTCGCAACCCTTGCCCCCCTCTCGGTCAGTAAATGCGGCATTGCCTGTTGTCAACGCGGTACGTTGAGGGTAAACGATGTTCGGCGCCGCTGACACTGGATGTTACCGATCGATCGTTAGTGCGTGTCGATTTGTGACATGGAACAGTCAACAAATCGAGATTTGGACGATTGACGGGTGTCCCGGCCTGTTGTGGTGTCGGGATCGTGTCAGTCCTGACGGACGGAGGAGTCATGCCAAAGTCGGCGTCTTGGTGGCACGTCAAAGGCCCCGGGTACGACCTGCTACTTGGGATTGATGCGATCCGGCGTTAGGAGGCATGATGATCACGCCAGCCGGAAATGTGGAACTGGGTGAAAGAAGAAAAGTGTGTGCAGCCCTTTGCATTAGTGAGCCGGATTTCGACGCCTCCTTCAATTCCGACGAGAGGGTGTGGACCGCCAGGTGGAAATGGGCCCAAAAAGACCCGCCAGTTCAGCTTTCGCAAACAAGGTCGCAGAGTACAAAGTTCCGACAGCATCAGAGGAAAATACGAAAGAGCTTCAGCAGTGGATTGTGAATGGCTGGTTGATTCTGTACCCCCAAAGGGTCTGATTCCCTTGATGGCAGTCGCAGGAGCAGAAACAGAAGGTGCGTCCGGTGCTGACACGCGAATTGAACAACTTTGTGGATGTTTTCACTGCCGATGCAGAAGTGTGCGCACATAAGTTGAGAACGTGGCAGCGGCAAGGAGTCAATGTCGCTTCTGGATCTGGGGGGAACGATATCTTCAGATTCACATCGACGAAGCGCTGTGGCCATTTCAAACGGTTATTTTCAAAGGCCAACGCTTCTGTCTTACGCGCTAGGATTTGGGCTAAATGTAGCGCCACTCATCATGAAATCCGTTATAGACGCCATCGCATCGCAAGACCGCACAATTGAAAGTGCCACATCAGCATACGTTGATGATATCTTCATTAATGAAAGTTTGGCCTCTGCATCGCGTGTAAGACAACACTTTTCGGATTACGGTTTGGTGTGCAAGGATCCGGTCTGCGACTGAGAGATGGAGCAAGAGTTCTTGGCTTGCAGGTCTGGGAAGAAAATGGCACCTTCCGATGGAAACGAGGAAGTCAAATTCGGAAGCCCCTGATGTGTTGACCGGTAGCGCGTATTTTCATTGTGTGGGAAACTTGTTGGACACTTCCCAGTGTGTGGATGGCTCAGGGTGGCAGTTGCATTCGCCAAGCGCCTGGCAACCGCGAGCAACCAATGGATGGGATGATAACATCAAAGATCCCTCTCTGTCTATCGATACTAGCAGAGATGTTAAGTAGTGCGGAACTGGATCCCGTTGGAGAGACTGGTGCATGAGTGGTGACAAGATCACAGTCTGGGTGGATGCAAGTTCCGTGGCGACAGGAGTGGCATTGGAAGTAAACGGAAATGTCGCCGAAGATGCGTGCTGGCTGCGTCCGACTAATGATGCCAGGCATATTAATTTGGCTGAACTCGATCGGCGCTTTAAAGGAGTGAATCTAGCTCTCCAGTGGGAGGCGACAACGTTGCAATTTGGTTACTGATTCGGCGTGTGTGCACTGGTGGATTTCAGACACCTTGACCGGGAAGGCACGGGTGAACACAAGGGCGGCTGGTGAGATGCTGGTCAGGCGATTTGCTGGGCATTTTGGCGATATCGCTGGTGGAAGAATATGGATTGACCGTGGAGACGTGACACTCATGCAGTCCTGTCAGAACCGTGCGGATCGCCTCACCAGAGTACCACACAGGTGGCTAGAACTGCTCAAGAGAGGAGAACCGCACTCGAGAGCTGTGCAGTGGCAGGGAGACGACTGGATGAGGACCAGGTTGCCAATATGCATCGTCAATCCGGACATCCGGCGTGAAACGAACTCTGTACTTCCGCCAGGTTAGTCGATCCACGCAGGTGTCCAGAGAAAGCGTTAAATCCGCTGTGAAGGCCTGCACAACCTGTCAGTCGATCGATCCGGCACCCGCTCACTGGGAAAGAGGAGAACTGAGCGTGAAGAGCAACTGGAGCAGACTGGCAATGGACATAACTCACTACAATGGTGAGAATTTTTTAACACTCATTGATTGCGGTCCCTCCCAGGTTTGCGGTATGGGCGGCCGCCGCGCAGACAAGA